CTCAAGAACCGCAGCTACACGCTTAGCGTGCCTAAGCTCGAGCTTTTGGAAAATATCCACTGCGTTACGCATAGCATGTGAGAGCTCGAATTTTCCTAATGCCGAAGGCTTTCCTCCCACGGGCTGCAAAAGCTCACTTGTCTCATTATAGAGATGTTGCAGGCGCTTGATTTCCGATGCAAGTCTCTCGTCAACGCGACTAAACACAATCTCTACATACTTGTCAAACTCTTTTCGCTCCTCATTAAGTTGTATTTGCGCCTCGGTTTGCTTGAACTCATCCTCTAGCACGTTGATGTCAGAGTATCCAATCTCCTTATCATTAAAGAGTGAATCAATGTGGGTTTCTGACTCTTCCTGGCGAGCTTGACGCTGAGCGTTGACTTGTGCCTGGCGCCCGGTAGCGCTATTATCCCAGGCTTCGTGAGTTTTCTCAATGAAGGTGAAGTCCTCGGGGAAATGCTCGATTTCATCGCCGATAATAGCGACACGCGAGCTGCTTTCTAGGCGAGGCGGCGGGCCAGGAACCAAAGCTTGTAGTTCCTCGAAGGTTATGGTTGGTGAACCTTTCTTCGGTAAAGCTGGTCTATTTGACAAGCTAGTTCCGGGCCGGTGGCTGCGGTAAGCCACACTCTTCTCTCTAATCAGGCCTAAGAATGTTTCGTCATGCTCAGCCCGTGATACTGAACGTTCCGAAGTGAATGCTGGTGGGGTCTGTAAGGATGGCTGAGCCATCACACGGCCACTTTCCACTGACGCTAGGCGCAAGGCTGAGTATCCCTGGTAAGCTGGACGACTCGCGGCTGTGGAATGAGACGCTTTCTGCGAGTTTTCGTTGTAGCGGAAAGGCGTGTAGACTGCATGTGGTGGCTCAACCGTGAACGGAGGTGTGTTCGTACTTGGCCTAACAGCAGACTCTGGGGGAACAGAAACCGATCGAGATGGGTTTGGATGAGCAGATAAGCCCAAATTTGGGTTTGATATTTGATTACTGGCAGCTCCTGCTGTTGGCTGTGGTCGAGTCGGGTTAGAGGCAGATCGATGTAGCCCATCTGAGCCAGAATTATTTTTCTTCTGGTTAGTGAGCGCAGAAGCGAGTCGTGGTAGCCCACCGGGACTATAAGAGATTACATCATCCTGTTCACCAGGGGTTGGAGGGTCGGGAATAGATATCTTCGTGGGCACCTCCTGCGATGGTGCTGGTGCTGGTGCGTCTTTCGTCGTCGAGCTTGACGCGGCAACAGGGTTAGTCGCAGGTGCGGGCTCAGGCTTCACTGAAGGCTGTTGATCCAGGACATTTTCCACGTTATACAAGATTGCACGTAGTTTTGACTCCTTATGCATAAAGGCTGAGAAAAGCTTATACTTTTCCTCTTCCGACTCCGTTTCCATTTCCTTACGGAGCATGGTCACATACCGCGTCAAGGATGATTTATACCATGGATCAAGATCTTCATAAGGGTCAGAAATTGTTACGATTGACTGTATTGGTCGAACATCGGCCCTCAAGGCCGTGCGCATAGGGCTCTGCTGAGGGGAGGCATGGATGTGCGATACCGGGGTTGTCACTCGGGGGTAATCGAATGTTGAGACCGTGTTTGAACGTTGGTGAGGCTTTGCATCCGAGTAGGTAGAATGCTGGCTGCTAGATATGACTGGCTGTGACCATGCTTCAATGACACCGTCAATGGCCTTAGAATCAACGGGTGTGTTTGACTCAATAGAGCTGACGCTATCGAGACGACCAGAGACACTTCCACTTTGATTTTTGGCAGGTTGGTTCGATGCATCAACTGGAGAAATTACATGCGAGCCTGATCGTGATGGTTGCTCAGGCGATACTTGTCCCGAAGTCACGTTGGCTGGTTGCTGTGAAGTTGCCTGAGAGCTAGTTACTGGAGCTTGGTGAGATGGATCCGATGGCAGTTCGAATGTATTTGCCTTGTTTATGGGGGATTTGGTTCTAGCACCGAATTCAGCCGTATCATCTACCTCTTCTCCCGCAGAGTTAAAATGCTCCCAATCAGAAGGACCCCCAAATCCGAGGGCTGATGCGCCAGTGCTTGCTGTAGGGGTCGCACTAGAAGCTGCTGCTGTAGTGGCAGGGGGTGGGGTGCTGGTAGCTACCGTTGCCTGCGCAGCAAGCGGAGAAATAGCAGGAGCAAGCGAAGATGCAGGAGTCTGAGCTTCCAGTGGCTGTGATGTGGGAGGAAGTGGCTGCTGCAGATTCCCATCGGGAGGAGGGCTATGAAGATGATTTCGTGTCTCTCCCGATGGAGGCTGGAAATAGCCGCTGTTTCCTGAATTATCGGCATTTTGGGGTACGGGAGGTGCAGGAGGGGACACAACTGGTTGCTGCTGTTGCTGCTGCTGCTGGGTTTCTGGGGGTGGGTATTGGTATTGTTGCTGCTGCTGCTCTTGCTGATCATGTTGATATGGTGTCTGCTGCGGTTGCTGCTGCTGGTATTGATGTTGATCATGCTGGTATGGTGCTTGATGTGGTTGCTGCTGCTGCTGCTGCTGCGAGACTGGGTCGTATCGGTGGGTTGGGGGATGCTGCGAATAGACTGGTGCAGTTGGCCATTCAGAAGCAGGACGCTGAATCTCTGCTTGATATGCCAGTGGTAACGGTGGTGGTTGTGGTGGAGCATTTTGGTTGGCAACGTAGCTGCTGTGATCTGCAGGCGGTGGCTGCTGCTGCCATGACTGTGGAGGAGGTGGTGGTGCCACCGGGGGATATTCAGGGGCTGTTACCCCATGGTTGGGGGGATAATATGGCTGACTGGTTTGGACAGGCTGTTGCCATTGCTGTTGCTGCTGTTGCTGCTGGGGAGCGTTCTGAGCCTGTGCTTGGGAGAATTCAAATGCGCTGGATGGACGCGGCTAAATGCAGTATTAGCATAGCTTCTTGACTCGATATGCGAATGTATTAGTGATCCTGCTTACTGGCAACGGCGGCGGTGCGTTGTGCTGGTCATGGACACTTGGCTGATGCTGGTGGCCGAACTGTTGGTTATATCGAACCCCCCACCGCGACGTATCTTGCTGAGCATGGTCCATCGAAGGAGTTCCCGGCATAGGTCCATATGTGTTCGGGTTGTACGTTGATTGAGGTTGTACATGCTGTGACTGGTCACCTCCATGCCATTTGTTTGAGTGGTCACCAGCTGGCGGGAGAGGCGGAGGAGGAGGAAGAGGCGGCTGCTGCTGCCAGGGAGGCTGCTGATAGTTCTGAGAGCCGTACATCACTGCTCTGCATAAACGAAATAGCTTAGCACCGTACAGAGTATATTGTAGCTAGATACAGCTTGAGTTTGCAGGGAGAGAGAGAAAAAAATCTCTTTACTTACTGTCGTTAATAGTATTTGTCCGTGAATAGTTGGATCAGGGCCAGGGGTTCACTCGGTATAATCCAGGGTTCATTTAGTTAAACCTCCCGTCGCGGTACCGTGAACCAGGAGAACGGTCGCCTGAAGCCGTGAAGGACGCCCGGATATCTCTCCTGAAGAATGATGATCGGTATGGACGCCGTCGCCGTTGTCGCCTTTTTGCGATGTCGTTGAAGTAGTTAGACGGAGTAGTTTAGTTCTGGTCAGGCGCAAACAAATGCAAAGCGCACCACAGTCTCATCACCAGATCAGGCGCGGTCACACCGTGAGACGTTGCTGGCAAACTAGTCGGCCCAGAGAGCTACGGCTCCGTGTAAATCGCCTGGCGAGCAGCCCGTCGTCGCCGTCGCTGCTCCGTTGCTGTCTGAAGCGACGTCTGCGGTCGTCGAGTTGTCGTTGACGCGGCGGAGCTCTCGTTTTCCCTTTTGGGCCACCTCGTATGCGCCGGCGCTGAGTAAGACGCTCACCGCCCGCCAGCCGCGTCTACGGGATATAAAAAAAGAAGCAAAACGCTGCGACTCAGCCATGATTTCGAGACGAGGGCGGGCCAACAGATATCGGGATACTGTTAGACAGCCTCGGGCTTTGCGATGCGGACTGTTGTTGCACCGTTTACGAGCCTCATTTTAGCGAGCCGGAGGGCGAGGACATGGTTCGTCGGTCTTCTCGAGGGCCACGGCGCGGGTCGAGACTCAGTTGGACGAAGTGTGAAACCAGGCAGCAGCTCTGTGATTCCAGGATATCTTACGCTTCACCAAGGTAGACGGGGAGATGCTGCTCTCTTTGACCGTATGGATGAAGTTCCCTGCCTGGAAGAAGCGAACTAGCCGCGTGAATGGTCCTCAATCGTCCTGAAAAGATGACCCCTTCTGGCCTTCAAAGGTTCACCTATACTATGAAGAAACATGCTACAAGGGTCCATCTTTGTTTGATACGCTACTACAATGTAGTAGTAACTGTTTCTTGTTTACACATGGATGTTTGGCGCTTGAAGCCTCCTTGTTGAACCCCATAGTTATGTTATTAATACCCCTGGCGATGGTTGTATGAATGGCCGACATACCCAGTAGCATGAACTTCGTTTCAAGCAAGATATAGCCTTTCATGCCTACAATATGGCATTATTCAGCGGACTGTTGGTTAGAGAAAGGCCCTTTGTTGTTGCCGAGACTGCTATTGTCGACAACTACCGGTGGAAAGGATCAAGTAGTCGCTGAATCCAGCATGGGCTCCCATCTATGAGATCAAGTTACATGTCTACTCCTTGTTGCCCTACTTCTCTACCCTTTTCCTTTATTTGGTACTGTATCTCTTTATCCGGGGCTATATCAACAATGTTCTTTGATCTCCCTGGACATACAATAAACCTGGATTCCTCTTTCCTAGTGGCCTACCTTCTAACCCAAACTTCTCTGTGATTCCCACTATCATCCACCGTATATGGTCACCTCTAGGTCTCCCAACACCATCCAAAGGCCCAACATACTTTGAGACCTATGGGCTCGTTTGTTCTTCTGTCTTACCAACGCCTGAGCCGCATTGATTCTGTGAAACGCATAGACACCCTGATCCAATCCACCAGCCTGGTACCAGCATATCAATAGCTTCAAAATGTCCGAAGAACAGACTATAGAGGACCCGAGTATGCCATGTCCGGTAAATTGTCCGGTACCTATTGGATTAGACTATGCCGCCCCAGCTTATCCAGGCCAACCAGACCTGTTTAATGACGTCGAATGGGGGCCATTTCCTTCCAACGAAGATATAGCAAAGGCATACAAAGTGTGGTCGATACCAAACAACACTCTAAAAGCATCTCACCCCGCTACTAATGGCCCAGCTGGTTGTCTGGTACGAAATGTATACGAGAGCATTCTAACTTCCCCAGACTTGCCTATTCGACAAGAAAATTATATTTTCCACCCTCCCAGAGATGCTGAACGTACTGAAGGCTGGACTTATAGCGACATTTTTGGCACTGAGCCGGAAGGGCAGGAGCAGTCACCAGATAATACCATACCTAGCGTACTGGTGCAAGGCCATAATCCTCTTATCGATACAAAATACTGGACAAAAGCAAGGCTCCAACCAGAACTGCGTTCCCGGGGAATCGATGCAAACGGTCTCGTTGCTGATCTAAGACAAAGACTGTACGATGATGAACGGCAAAAGTTGAGAACCCTCGGCCACCAGGAGAGGAGAGCCGAGGATAAAGGTAGTTTCCTACCTGTCCAATCATTGCCAGAATGGGGCCTTAAGCGCAAATCCGATGATTTCCTAGTCAGAATTACTACACAAAGTCGTTTATCAGCACTAGATATGTACACCTGGGCAATACATCTCAGCCCATACAACCCTGCGTTCTGGACCAGCCGCGCATACTTATATTACCAGATGGGTCATTTTGACCTAGCTATCGGGGACGCATACCGTGCACAACTCCTATGTGAGAAACTTGTCAATCCACTAAACCGCCATACTCAACCTGGTATCTATATTCATATATGGGACGCCGTCGAGCGCCACATATTGCAAACACCATCCAACGGGCGCCAATTTTCCCCGGAAGTCCTTCTGTTACGAAGGGGGAACGGAGTAAACAGCTTCATTCCCTTAGTGCGCAAAGCAGTCCATCATATTATCGTACTTAGCCTGTTGGCAATGCAATGCTGGGAAGATTACTCTGCTACTGAACCATATCTAAGGACAAGACTTATCATGGCTGACCGCGACAAAATTGCCATGACAAAGAGGCAAGGGAAACTAGCTGAATTCATTCAAGAAGCAGGAAAAGAAAAAAGACGCGATGCTCGTGAATATTTTTTCGAGCGACATTATGGCTTTATTACATGCCGCCAGTATCCGTATGATAACTACGATGCTGCTACCGCACTTAAACAGATTGCAGATAAGTTGAATGCGGATATGATAAAAAAGTCACAGGCGCTGGTCTATCGTCCTGCAAAGATCCAGGTAGACGTGGACGGTGGGAGTCTTTCAGTATATGCGTATGAGGACATACGCAAGGGAACAGTCATTTATGTAGATGAGCCATCGGTAAGAGGCCATCTTCAGCCCCTGTACAAAACCTCAAAGCATTTCTGCGAGAATTGCAAGCGCCCGCTTAGCACTGGTGGCTCCCCACCATCGCCCCCTACCGAGAATAAGGCCGTACAGGATCCAAGTTGCACCTGTTCCAATTCCATCTACACTCCTCTGTACTGGTGCAGCGCCGAGGGCCCTAGCTCAAGGGATTCTTCTACAAACTCGTCTGAATCCACGGGCGGTCGTCGAAGGCCAGGTGCCGAAACAGACAACGGACAGAAGACCACAAGGGGGAATCCCTCAAAGAGACAAAAGACAAGCGATGATCGTGCCAACAAACAGGGGCTTTCGTGCTTAGATATCGCAAAATCTTTATATCATAATCGGGCCTGCGGGAAGAACTGGGACTGGCTGCATAATGCAATGCGACCAAACTACTGGAAGTCTGAATCTGTACCACGGGAGCTGGGCTCTCTGTCCCATTCAAACGAAAAACATGGTACTTTATTGAGCTTGTTGCTTAGAGAGGTGTTTGACATCACTCTTCTCCGGCGTGAGACTGATAACAAGCCTCATTTGCTGGCCCACGAGATTGACGAGCTAATGCCAATCCTACTGTGGCGTGCTGCAGGCAAGAATCTGCCGTTCTCGTTTGCAGCGAATATCCAGGTTCCTTTTGACATTCTCTCATGTCTAGGTGTGAACATTTTCCGGGACCTTTCATTTGATACCTGGGTGATTCAACTTGTCCTTCGGAAACTGCTGATGTCGGCCATCCCCTGGTGCGCTCCAGGCGAGGAAAGGCGCGAGGACGTTCCTGAGACTCAGGATGAGGTCATCAAGCGTACAAGAGAGATCTCTAAATTTACTCCAAGCGAGTCCAATTTAATTATGCCAACGTTCCCCAACCTTTATGTCTTTCCTGCGATCTCCGTGTTCAACCATGCTTGCCCTCCTTACCATAATGTGGATTGGAATTGGGATACGGAAATTCCAAACCGCCTTATTCTACACGCCAACAGGTTTATAAAGCATGGAGAGGAGCTATTTATACGCTACACCAAAGCACCCCTTCCCAACAATACAGCTGTGAGACTATTTGGTAGAAGCTGCCTTTGTTCTGGCTGTGGGAGAGAGCGGTCGAATTCTCCACCTTTGCCCGATTATTTCGGATTTGCGACCAGTGATGAGTCTGAGCCAGAAAACTCCTCGTCTTCCGGACAACCAACCCAAGGGCCTGGCTTGGCTCGATGGAGGTCGCCAGAGCCTAGTGAGGAGGAAACGTCCGGTGACAATGGCAAAACTCCCGAGTCAAGGGATAGGAGAAGCGGTGGTAGCAACCAACAGAGAAACGCGGAAGGTGACGGCCAAGAAGAAGACGAACTTGAGGATTATAAGAGTAGTTCTCAGGAGGAGTCAGCCTCGTATTTAAATATTCATACCTATCAGGGGCGCACACCCTTTGACTACAACCAGGCTCGTGAGGGGCAGCTGAGAAACCAAACTACAGATGATGAGTACCAACTGGCAGCACAACTTGGTCTTCAATCTATGTCAACTTATCTCGAGCCAGAGGCTTCTCAGAATAGCTCTCAGCCATACACACAAACTCGAGAAAGTCAACACGGTCAACAAGGGGAGGAAACCCGTGGACCACCCAGATCTACAGCAGCTAGGAATGCCATGCCACCTCCATCTCAAGGTTTGGGTCCAAGAGCCAGACTCACCAATACACGCCGCTCGCAATCTCCAGAAGCCTCATCACGTCGTCGTGGAGCTTTGATAAGGCACAGGGGAGTCATCATGTCTTCTTATCAGTACAATCAACTTATTGAGCGAGAGCGGAAAGCACAGCAGGAACGCAGTCAACAAGAGGATGATACGCAAGGTAGCTGTGATAAGCATGCCAATTAGCTGATTTGGCGCGTATAAGCTCCATACCTATGACTGCTTTTGGATTTTCCATCTTTTTTTTGGATTTATATGTCTTGATTAGTTATATTGAATTTCCCGAGTTTTGGTTTTTTCATATTCCCTCTGTGTCACATCCATATAACTAAAGATTAAATGCTCTAAATTTGCCATTAGGCAGTAGGTCTATAAATTAACTTGAACTTTTGGGGTTGTCAAATAATACGAACCCCTTTTCTTTCAAGTGGTCAACGTACAATGCCTGCTTCAATTCACATGTCTGTACCATTATCTGGAATTACGGACTTCGTCAAATCGATAGCGTTGGGCTGCGGTTAAGTAAACAATTCAGTGACTAATGTCGAGCAAATAGTTCAAGGGTTGTGCCACAGAATCGCATCTGAAAGAAGGCACAAAGGATTTAGCGCGAGAAAAACCCCGAGACAGTGCCTCCGTGCGGCCATGCAGTATTTGTGAAACCTCGATGCCGCTATTGTTTTCCCACTCCATCCATCTCAGGAACAATGCTTGTTCTGTTGCTGGATGGCTAACATGAGGGAGATAATCATGATTCGATAGCATGCATGCACTTCCCCCTGTCTCCATGAGTGATGCTACTTATGAGCGCTAGTAAGAGATGTGGCCAGAGGGTTGCAGGTTGACAAAATAGCAGATCAAAGCTGCCATTGGGCGTTCAGGCTGCTGTGGCAAATCTAAAATCTCCCTTGCTCAGTTACAGATGTGCCCGCAGTCATCCTGGGGAGAGCCAGATCAGGCGAAGACGGGCTTATCCAAGGCCGTCTTCAGCTTGGGCAGGACGCAGATCCGCCGGGATGGCCGCTTGCTACGGCATGACTAGCCGCATCAACAGCCCAAATATCCGGAATTAGAGCAGCCCAAGCGGCCGAGGTACTCCTAGGTCAGCCTATCGGACCTCAGCAAGGGTATCAAAGATCGCGAAACGATCGGCCGGTGTCCGTTCAAACATGTGACTTAAAACTTTCTTAAATGAACGAACAGCCATGTGGTTGTAAAGTAACAGCCTCGCAGAGTGACTCGAACTCGAAAAGACGGCGTTACTGGGCAATGAAAGGTTGAAGCCAGAGTGGCCGCATGGCATAGCGTGCGGCACAGCAATTCAACACAGCCTCATCGTGATGGACAGCCACCAATCAGCAGTCAAAAGGGCACCACATCAGAGCATCCTGAGGCATGGGTTGCATCATTTGGCGTACCTCTGGATCGCAACCCCCGAGACTATCAGACGAGACGCCGTCTATATCGTCGTGTATTGACGTTGGCGTTGGCGTTGATGTTGCGGCTCTAAACTTTGGCTTCGAGGAAGGTTTGTGCTTAGTCATCCACTCCTTTTCCTTCGAACTTCAACTTTTGACGACGACCTTGCAGCCTACGCCGTAACAGACCCCGACTCCAGCTCCAACTGCAGAGGAGAAGGACAGGGCGTATTCCATACTCTGCTCATCCATCTTTTTTTTTTTGTTGTCTTTCTCTCTATCAGCTTCTTCTTTCGCCCTGGTTGGCGAGGCGGCGAGCCGCTGTCCTGCAGTTATGTACGCCGTCTCACTCCGGTGATTTTTACGACGAGATGCTCTGCCTCCTGCAAGTGACGTTGAGAAATAGTAATAGTATCGCAGATACGACCCTCTAGACCGCTTATACCAAGAAAATTATACGCCAGGATGATTGCTGCCTTGAGGTGGACCCCGAAAAGCCCTTTGGCTGTACATGGAGTGGGGGGGAAGAGTGCCGAATATGCCTTTGATATCAATCAGCATGCCAACATGTAGCATCCTTGAAATGTTGCCATGTTCGAGAACATCCCCAGATTATCAGAGCATCTTCTGATACATCTCAAGCAAGAATAGTATCTGCCAGTTACTATATTATTCCAATACGGATGCCTCCCAGCTTGGTTATATCATTGGAGGGCGATTTCTTGTTACTTGTTACCTCGCCCCTGCAAGGCATCGTATATCCCCCATGGGAATTGTCTCTGAGATTGCTTTAAAATAGTCCAATATGCACGACCTGCATTCAGACCTGCAAGCTGTGCCGCAATCCAGGACCTTTTCTTACCACCCCTGGCCATCGCTGCCTGGCGAGGGGCCCTGAAGAAACCTGGCCGTAATGCAGTTTCGACTAGCCCACTAGTTATGCAATGCTCACTTATTCCAGGATTCCCGCCGTTTGGTACACTGGGGGCATCAATCAAGATGGCCCTAGCTCCCACCCATTTGGATGGCCCATTGTTCCCCTTCCTAAACTCCGGCACATGGAAACACGGGATAGCCTTCTCGCGTTACTCCCAGGCGTAAGCGCCGCTAGTCATATTCAGAGACTGACTGTGATTTGGCCGCTGAATAGTGCTCTAGATTTGTTATTCCTTGCCTAAGTGATCTCCGGCTTCGCATTCGCTCAGGCTGCGGAGTTTTCATACGCCCCCCTACCACTCCGGCCTACGGCGGCCTCTGTAGATCCCGTCTTAATGAATATTTCCCCAGTGGAGTTTAAGGTACAAAAGGAACGCGACTACTCCAGAACAAGATGGAGGGGAGAACTCAGTTTCGGTTTTTCTTACTTTACTTATCAGTGGGACTCTTCCTAGGCTAAATAATCTAGTCCACTACTTTTGCACTCTATCTCCTCTCCATTGCCTGATATCCTTGGCCCTCTACCGCTCCTCACATGTCGGCTCCAACTAAGTTACTCGGAAACCTATCACTCGGAAGTGACATGTCCTCTACTCGCGCAGGGTCCCAAACCCAAGGGCAAAAGCCTCCATATACTACTGAAGAGTCCTCTGATAGCGAATCTGAGGAAGAGTCGTCAAGTAGTGAAGGAGAGATGGAGGAAGAAGGAGAAGAAGAAGAAAATTCCCCATTGTATCCTGTGACCTTTTCTGGAAAGTCATCCATTGTCTATGACCTTCAGATGTTATCTCATAGCGCAAGGGCGAAAGCCCGGCATGGACTAAGCGGAGAGTTCTCTGTCGATAAGTGCAGGCCACTTTATGGTGGTGGATATGACTTCCATGTCGTTGATTATGGTCGCGTCTATGTTGGCGAAGGACCGATGGCTTGCTCATGTCCAGACTTCCAAGGTAGCCGCATTGCTTGTCGACATATTTACGTTAGTTTACCCTGCTTATACTCCTCGTCATACCTGATATATTCTTGCAGCTAACAACGGAACTTTCTTCTCTCAGTGGCTTGTCGATCAGCTTCATCGGCGGGTTCTAACTAGCAGACCCTCTGGAGCTCTCAAACTATCCCAAAACGGAGAATGTGAAAAACTGGGCCCCATGCTAGAACTCATTGGAAATCGCATGGAAAATATATGCCAGAAAGTGGAATGGCCATACATTCCTACCCCAGGCACTCCCCCTGATACACAATGCAGCTCGATGTCTATGTCACGCCCCGAGAAAGCCAGAGACCTCCTTTCAGCCTTCAGTGCAGACACCATGCCCGATGAATTTCGCCCTGAACTTGTGGAAACGATTAGGCAGCCTCGTACCCCCGAGCAATGCGTCGTCCAAGGTGACTTCGAGGCCACGATGTTTCGTCTTGCTGTGCATGATGAAAATGTCTATGCCAGTCTTCGCAAGGTAATGCCTTCTGGAGCCCGTGCTGCCATATTCTTTGACAAAGTACAAAGACGGATCCGCTCGCTACTTGCTGATTTCAATCGGTACCGACAAAAAGGAACACCAAGACAATCAGACCATATGGCCCTGGAGGTTGATGTGGTTGCTGACGAGATGCGAGATCATCTCCGGCTAATCCAGAAGAATATGTTTTCTCGCAGTCCGCATGGCTTCAAAGGAGCAGCCGAGACACTTCTCTACCTTCTTCGTGCAGTCTGCCAATTCAACTTTGATGCCTTCGAGACAAGCACATGGGAGCGTCCTTCTGAATCGGATGAAGCAGCAGAGGACCGAAATTTATACTTCCAGCTAATTTATAACCCAGTCAATGGCGATGATTTCTTTGTTCTCTCATGCCTGGAGCAGTTACCAGAGGACATCCTGCAACAAATCACCCCTCAACTTGATAATATCTTCAGCGACATGCAAGTGAACGCGGCACCGGTGCCGTACCTCCGAAAACTCCACAGTATAATAGCTGGCGACATTCCGACAAAAACTGCTGTGGGTGCTGCTCTGATACCTGGTGCCAGCGGGCAAAAACGGCCATCGACTGCTGCATCTGGCAGTGGTCGAAAGAGAACAAAGTGAAGAAATAAGCAAATTATCTGGGATTATTTGCTCTAGAGCGTGTTTCCTTCATATCTACATAATCAGTGGCTGGACCATGTCTTATAACCTCGTCTCTTCTCTCAGCTTATTGTCTTACAATTTGAAAATACCCCTGGTGGATAATATGTTAATTTAGGCTTATTTATCCTATCAATATAAATAAACCTATAACTCTCCTACAATTGAAGTTATTCTCAATCTGTAGACACCGTCTCGTTACCTGCATAAAACCTAGCGGAGTCCAGGCGTCAAGACAAGTCTAGGACGACCCTTCCCTGCAATTCGCCCCGACCCAGCTGCTCGAAGACTTCCGTAAGCTTTTCCATTTTCTCAACACGTACATGAGCCTTGATGATGCCCCTTGCCGCAAATTCCATAACTTCAATTGCATCCTTTCTGTTCCCTACAATAGAACCAACAACATTAAGGGACTGAGCAACCAGGAGCCCTGGAGAACAAGAGGCGATTGGATCTCTACTGTGTGATGGAATTCCGACACAGACCAATGTGCCGTTTGAACGCAGCATGAGTAATGCTTGTGCGTATGCGGCATGGGATCCGGTGCACACGATGGCTGCATGAGCACCAAAACCCCCTGTCAGGGACTTCACCTTTTCGACGATCTCTCCCGTCCCCTTTTCATCTTGTGAGAACTGAGTGATGTCGATGAAATGCTCTGCGCCCGACTCTCGCACGACACCCTCTTTGCTGTGATGATCAATGCCAATGACTCTGTGGCCGAGACCACGACTGGCGAGTTGCGTAGCTAGATGACCTAGCCCACCCCCGGCACCGGAAATGATCACCCATTGGCCTGGTTGGGCCTTGGAGCGTTTGAGTGCAGCGTAAACTGTTATGCCGGCACATAACATGGGTGCAGCCTGTTCGGAGGGCAGGTCATCTGGAATAGGGGTAACATAGTGTGCTGATCCAAGAATGTACTGCTGGAATGTACCTGGGCTATAAAATCCAGACATCTTTTTGTTGATGCAGCATCCATCGATACCATCAACGCAGAACACTAGTTTCCGTCAATTTGTTCGTTCCGTGCACACATTACTGATCCAAGGGGTATTAGAGGGGGCACATACGGCATTTGCCACAGGCATGAGCAATCCATTTAATGCCAACACGATCACCGATCTTGAGGCCAGATTTTTCAGCCCCAGGACCGAGTTTGACGACCTTTCCAACACCTTCATGGCCTCCAACTTGCCCTGCTTCAGGTGGGAAGGGGAGAGCTGGCCACTATCCACATGCAATCAGCCAAAGATGCCAACCAGAGAAAGATGCCAGCACATACGCTGTTGGTCATGAGAGAATAGTCAGAGTGGCAAACTCCCGAGTGAGTCCTAGACCTGGAGGTCAGCAGGCTTATTCACGGCCGCTCTCGATGTAGTTACAACACACGCACAGGTTAACGAGGACTTCATCAGGTCCAGGCTCAGGAACCTCTACCATCACCACTTTGGTCGAGACTGAGCCTGGCTTGTCATATACAGCAGCCTTTGCGTGAGTAGGAATCTCTGAGTCCGTCATTTTCGCTCGTATTGAATTGGAAGTAAGTAGATAACTATCGTTGAGGGGGATGCTTGCTAGTTTCGGTTATCGGTAGTTAACATGTAGTTACATTGAATCGCAAACAGAAGCTCACCCTTTAAATATCGTGTCCCGAAATCAAGCACTATCACCCCGCGATACTTCTGTCTGGAGGGGGATCCTTGCTATAGAGGACAGCTCCTTGGTTGGGTTCTCTGCCCGTATCTGCGCCGGCGATCGCAGCACGTTCACCGAGCGGAGAAAGAGCTGGCGCTGTCCAACCTCGGCTTCAGGTTGACATCTGCGCTGTAGAACACAGATATCGACATTGGCTAGAAAGGGCGTGATTCATCTAGTTCAAGATGGGGAGATACTGTAGGCCCTCCGAGCAGTGAGATGCCAGATGTTATTCTTATCGTCGTCACTGAGCCCTCGCTTCTCTAGCAGCAGCTCGACCACTCTCGTCCACCTCCTCCAGGCAACCAAGTTTCCACCACCTCCGATATTACAGACCGGCCAGTCACTTCCGAACATGATTCTTGCAGCGCCAAAGGTGTCGAATATGACGTCCGTCCATGGTTGTATGGCATTTACGGCAGCCGATACCTGGTATGCATCGCCTTGCCCCTCCTCTTCTGCAGGCAGAGGCAGAAGTTCAGAAAAGAGACCCGAGAGCTTCATGTAGATGCAAGGATAAGCCGAAAGAGAAGTGATATGCCTTTTCCACTCGACGAAGTCTTGATGGTTACAGGTTTCAGGTGGTGATATGCGTAGATTCGGCTTACACAGATGGTCTATTTACTATTCAGCAGGTTGTGGGAAGTAGATATCGATTGTAATAGAGCAAGGGATACCGAAACTTAGTATCAACTTCACTTGGCTGCCGTATTGATATAATTTCCCCGCTAGCTGCACGGTTTCTTCAAGCTGATGAAGTCCACCTCTCCTAGCATCGACTCCGAGATCAAAAGTCAGTCCTCGTTGCCCCAGCCATCGTAGGCTCTGAATAAAGCCGTCTTCCAACATGGTGCCGCTTGGTTTGTCTTGGAGCAGATATCTCACTCCCTTGATCTTTTCCCACGCATCTCCTCCGTCGGTTTTTGTCTTTTCTTGTATATTGACCATATATAGCTCTAGCCCTTCTGGTCCTAGCGGAACAGGCGCCCAAGGGATAATCGCGAGACATAATTCCTTGTCTGACGAGACATGTCCTTCTCCTTCGAGCGGAGTCCCGCACGCTATGCGCGAGATGAACGATATCTCCTCAAAAACATGAGTCCAATCATGGGGTCTAAGTGATGATCTTCGATCTGTCTCTATGTATATAAAGCCCTTAAGAGCGTACTCGGCTGGCAGAGACGATACTGCTGCATCAAGGTACTCTTCAACCGAATGCTGCGAGCCCAGCGGATTAGAAGGTGAATGCCATGCTAGCATATCCAGCTGCGAGGCTGTCCAGAGATGCACATGAGAATCAATAATTGGAGTAGCCATGCTCAAGCCATACAGACATTTGTCAAGGCGATAACTCGTTGTGTTGTTGATATATACTCCATATAGCTAACTAGCAGAGATCCTCAAACAACCTTGTGGGCACGGCTAACTAAGTTCACCCCTTGGAGTCAACCATATTCCAACCACAACCAAACTTCTTAACAAGTCGATCTCGGCTAATTTACTCTACTTGACTTCAAAGATGGACAAGAGTAGTGAGTGTCAATGACTATTATATTATCTGATTAACTAATTAACTGACTCGCTTCGTCGCTAAAGAATCACTTCACAGTATTTTTGGGCCAGCATCGTCAAGGCCAGGGACATAAAGAGCGTAATTGGTCGTCAAGCGTCAGGAACGCGGGAGAGAACCAGTGGTTGGTCCATCCATCATCATCATCTATGTACTACTTTTGTATGTTTTTGTTGTTTGGTGGTTGGTGGTTGGGTCGAGACGTTGGTGATAGAGCGCATTTAGGCCTGCAAGGAAGGGCAGTTAGCAAGGGATCATACCGATTACTGTTGCGGACTGCTGGATGAACATACCTTGGTGACCTGGACGGAGTTGGAGTTGAAGTTGCCAGAGAAAGCGCCAGAGAGCTCCTGGAGGTGAGACTGGACGACCTGCTCCTTGGGCTGGTCCCAAACGGCCTGCCACCAGCCGGTAGCGGTGATGGTGTACTTGGTTCCAGCTGGGAGCTCGGCGCGGGAGAGAGTCTCGAGAGCGACCTTGACCTTGACGGAACTGGCGGCCTTGATCTCAACGAGGTCGGAGGCTGGGGGAGGAGTGATGCGGCGGATCTGGATGAAGTCGAGAGGGACGACGGCGCCCTTGCTGTCACGGACCTCGAAGACACCGAGCTGGTCGGCATAGGGGTCAAGGGGAGTGTTCCAGTTCAGGACGGTGGCGGGCTTCTTGGTGTTGGTGTTGCGGACAGTGACTTCGAGCTCGCATGGCTTGCTGGCGCGGCAGACACCGTTGACGGACTTGACGGAGACACCGAGAGAAGGACCGGCGATGGGCTGAGCAGCAACCAAGTTGGAGAAGAAGAGGCAGAGGCCAAGTGCAACAAAGGCAAGCTGGACGGCGCGGGAGAGGACAGACATCTTGATGAAGCTGGAGTTTTTTTTTTTTTCTTGCTGGGAGCAGAAGTATCGAAGAAGATGTGCTTGTGCTTGGAGATTTTGATTGAGGCTTGTGGCTCTGGAGTGCTGGTTGTTTTGTCTGGATGAATATCGACTTGACAGGCGATTCTGATCCCCTTTATATACCCCAATTGTCGCTCAGTCACTCAGTTGCTCTGCCAGCGGATGAATCCGTCCTCCTCGACCTTCCGTCACAAAGACAATGAGCAGGGGGGTATTCTTCCTTGGTGGACCGCAGACGCGGGATTTTGGTCTGCATCCCCATGTCTGCATTCTGGACGCTGTCGATCCTATCAGGACTGAAGAGGTGCTCGCTCATGCAATTCACTGGTCGTCTGTCAGCCACCACTTGGCCCAATATCCTGCATCGTTAAGGCTTTTCATGTATTGAATGCACTAGTTAGACGCTAGGCAACTCGATAATAATAGCCAGCTCATCCCTGCCATTATCCACTTCCCCCTGGCCTGCATATTTCCGGTCTCACCGTTTCTAGATTAAGTCCGCTGCTCCATTCCTCCACCATGACCTGGCCTGTGGAAAAGTTACCATAAAAAGCTCGACCGCGATATATCACCAGGTGACTTTAGTCTTTTTTTTTTGAGCTACCCTTGTCTCCCATAACTAACAAAATCACATCATCAAACAGCCATCGAGTAATTGCACTCGGAAACCGGAGCCGAGGCCCGCTCTCGCCAGCGGAAATAATGGCGGAGTGTTTTCATCACTAGGTACACCCATGGGGAAGACAAGAGAAGAAATTTCTACGCGCCTCTAAAGTCCAGTGTATATTCTCTGGTTAGCCCATGCAATAGCTTTTGCTAAACGAAGACGAGCCGCTCAGAAAAAAAAAAAAAAAAAAAAAAAGCCTGCAAGAAGAATCCAAGAGATAGATGCAAGGGTAACTTGATTGCCGGGCACGGAATATTCGCTAAGATGCCATGGAAAAATTACTTGCAGGAAGCTCTGCCAATGCATTGACAGGGTCTTGAGCGTGAATATTCACACGGAGGTTTACGGAACATCAGCTGCGACCTGATCTCATCCCAGCATAAATTCGAGAATCGACCAGAAATTCTGTCCGTTGCATACTTCATCCTGTAGCTAAGTTTTTGTTTTCATCCTTGACCCGGTTAATTCTGGGTTTTCTCTCGCTGATATTTCTGGCCAGAATCAACTCTGGACCTCCAAGCTGACCCATGCCTAGGCCAGCCCTCCGTATATCATTGAAATTGCGGTTAGCCACTTTGAGGGCAAGGAAGGCAACAAGACACTCGGGCCTCTTGGCTGTCTTACCGGTCCCGATACACCCTCCAATCTCGAGTCGTATTTTCACCATGGCGAGAGATATAGCAGCCATGGCGAAATAATAATATAAGTATGGGACAGGTTCGACCCATCGAGCTGATGTGGGTACAATGCCCTGGAAAGAGCTAAGCATTAAAATTCCGGCAGATCCCTGGGGTTTTTAGAACAGGAAGTGGTCCGTGTGGAAGAGAGAGAGAGACAGCTTAACAGCCACCTATATTAAAAAAGTCGGATACTAGCGGTTGGCTGCTGTTCAGAAGTGCACTAATACTGCAAAACAGATTCACTCTTCGCAGCCCATTGGACGTATTCCCAACAAGCTAACTTAGTTGTCGATTGGCGACCTTGACTGCATGAGACAAACGCCCTGGCTTCGAGGCAAAATCTTTGTCTCAACCGCTCTCCTTGACAGAGTTAGAGCTGCGAGTGAGCTAGCACTTAGTAACCAGCGATGTGAGAACCAGCTAGGTCCGTTTATTTGATATTGAAGTCCACCTGCCATTCCGGATCAAGACAGGACAGGGCGACTTAGTGGCTGGCGGAAAGAACCGAGATGCATCATGATATCATTATCATCCCTGCCTAAATTGCGGATTTCTGAGGGCATCATGACCCGTCGTAGGGCCTCGCCAGATTCCCAATCCAGTAATTAAATTATGGTGGACCAGACTCCTTCGTTGAGGTGAACATTGAGTCCATGCAGGATTGCGTGCCCTTGATCCTGTTTCTGCAATTTTGTGCCTCTTAACTGAGTAGCTGATATCCACCACGTCTTGAGTGGTGTTAGCGGAAGAAAAGTCCTCGGTACTCCGTACGGAAGTATGCTATATGGTGTCATAGCAATCAGTATCCATGGGCAAAAGGGGCTATATGAGCGCCAGCTAGCCACTCGCAACGAGGCAAGAAGCGTCCGAAGTCAAAATAAACAAAGTCGGCGGTTGACCCGTCCGCTAGTGCCAAATTAGGACTAGCTTCCCCACTTAGCGGAACGTAAAGTTTACTAGTGGCTTCTCGAAAGTCAAAAAATGCATTATGTAACCTGTTATTATTAATAACCATTACTAAGCGTAAAAAGTTTGTTCCTGTTTTTGTTTTCAGATTTGAAGCTTCGCGATGATTGATAGACAAGCGAGACAGCGGGCTGAGACGGACAAGGGGTTTATTTCGCGGTTGCTGAGGGCACATGGCAGGATTTTTCCCTTCGACCTGGCGAGGCGTTCTACACAGGCACTTCCGCGGATGCTGGCTTTAATTCTCTGTCTGTGAGGTATTTCTTTCTTCCCGCTGAAGAAAAGATGACCCATGCTCTCGCAGCCTTTTGTCACTTGCTGGGAATATGGCAGCCTGCATTTCGGGTAATTCATAGCCGGCATACATGTGCCTGCAATGGCAAGGCGGTACGAGAAATATCCGAGTGTTTGATTTCGAGGTATGCTTCTTCGGTCGTGGGATCCGATGCAGAGGAAAATTCCACTTGGCCTGAGAGCCAATATCTCACTGCATGACCTCCTTCAGGGTCCGGGAAATCGCCCCCGTCCGGCATCTTCAGTGGCCGAAGAGCTTGCATGAAAAATTTGATTTGAGTCATGAACACATGCAACTTCCTCCAGCACCCGGTGCTCTTTTTTTTTTTTTTTTTTTTTTTTTTTTTTTTTTTTTTTTTTTTTTCTTTAACTCCATTTTGTCATGCCTTGAAAACAGTTGGAGTCTGATGCTGAAGGGTCCAATATCATAACTTCCAGGAATGGTATAACTCGTATGATAAGCCTTTTAGTGAAAACCCTGGTTCTATCAAGCTATTCAGCTCCTTTGGTATCGATATATCCAATTCATTTATACCATGGATCGGGGTGATTAGCTGTCCGAGCGTTTCTCGCCAGAGATCCCCCAACGGAATAAGTTCCGTATCACCAGTGTTAAGCCGAACTCCGGGCTCGCACCACTATCCTGGACAAACTGCAGCATCATACTCCATACTCTGCTACCAGGTGAAATCAACAAGGGATCGCATCGGGCCCTCGGGATTAAGAAATCCGGATCATTCCTCTTTCGCCATATCTCCCAGCTGTTTATGGCCTGCTTTCCAGAAAAGGCGAGCGGGAACCAGTTTCTTGATAGGATCACTAAATAACGTTGACCGAATTTTCAATGACAAAGAGCAGAGTGTTTCGCGCGACTTCCTGGAAACACACATATCATTTGTGTCACCTGCGTGCTGTGCTGGGCCTCTTAAGCACTGTGTGAGTATCCATTAGAAGAATACCCTAGCAAGTTGTGAGGTTACGATACTTCTGAATAGACCGGTTACAGCAATAGTTGCCACCACCAATGCACGAATTGTGAGAGCATATTAAAGCGAAGAATCCTCCAATTCCCCATGGGCCCCTGTAGAAACAATGTTGCGTGCATACTTCAGACATACTCAGCGTCACTTCCAGTACGAAGTGGCCACAGGCTCATGCGCAGAGGAGTACTTTCGATCTGGGGTTACAGTTACAACTTTGCAGACAAGGTAACATGCATATAGGTCCGTAGGCTATGAAGCTTACTATGTTTAACAGAAATAGCAAGCAGATTTCATTACCCAGGTCATTCTTCCGAGGTTCATCATAACGACACTCTTTAGCAAGCAACGAGCAAGAGCATACTAGTGTAGCTTAAAGCCATGGTTTTTCAGCATCGGTTCCTTATACCAACGGGTTGACCATTATTAGGTATTTAACCCACATGACTGTACTAACACTAATATCTCATTAGACACCAAGAGCTGGTTACGACAATCTCTGGGATTTTCGTCTCTGGCTCTGTTCGTGAGGCGGCATTTGTGGTATCTGCATCACAGTTTCGTAGCTCGAACGCTCCAATCCTGTGTAGAAAGCAGCTTCGACAAAATCAGTTCAATGTCACGCTTTTTAGGTTATATTATCGCAAAACAACAATGCTCAGGTTCTCATTTCAGGAACAAAAACTGCCGGTTTCGCCACAATTCACGATAAAGAGTTTGAATCAGCTCCCCAGTGCGTTACAAGTTGGCCATGCGAATAACTCTGAATGAAACACCTGAATCAACAGGTAGATGTGCCGGCTATCGAAAAACTCAGCCATCACCGATTCCATTTACCTGCGGAGTAAAGACTGTTCCTTTGCAGGACTCCAGCAACCATCGATCAGGATGCATCCACCCATTCCAAATTTCATTGGTTGATGATGGCCATTTGGTTATACGGGGACCACATATTTACATGGATCAACGCAAGTTCAGTCTACTAATTGGCCAAGATGTCTTATAAGAGCCGCCAAAGCCGAGACTGCTTGCGACCTTCTTACGCAATCAGCGGGAGCTGATGCGATGCATCAGCCCCTTCGCAAGATCTCATCGAGATGGGCACTGCCATCGATTCCCTCGAGGGAAACGGAACATGAGAGTATCGATAACTCGGGGGAAGGGCGAAAAGAATTTTAGATGGGAAATAACTATCTCTTCTTTGTTCGGTTGCCTAGCTATACTGAGTCGCGATGAAACACTCACTGCGACCAAATCGATTGCAGAGCTTGACATGCCTTGCTCTCTTCAGCATCCTTGCCATTTATACGTCAGGTTATTATCTCACCAATATTGCGCGACATGGCCGAGCAAGTTTCAACGGCGCCCTGGAGTCATATCGACAACAGGGCATGAAACCAGCCGGCCCTATTGTTCCGGGTGTGGTCAAGCCTGGGAAGAATTATACTCGTACCCTTGTTATAGCGAGCGTCCAGAGGGAAAACACAACTTGGGTCGACGAGCTACAACGAGAAGATCCAACCCTACAGACGGCCGTTTATGTTGTCAATAACTCCAGTGCTCCACTCACTGTGATGAAAAACAAGGGACACGAAGTAATGGTCTATCTGTCGTACATCATTGACCGATATTATAGCCTTACTGATGTTTCTATTTTTATGCATGCTCATTTGACTACATGGCATAATAACGATCTCTTGGATTCGGATTCCGCAAAGATGGTCAAACGTCTTCGGAGCGAAAAAATCATTCGTGACGGTTATATGAACCTTCGTTGCCATTCAGAGCCCGGTTGCCCCGAACATATCCATCCAATTGCTGGGGGTGATGACCTCTCAAGTATTCCTGAAGCAGCTGTGATAGGGAACTCCTGGTTAGAGCTATTTCCCGGTACCGACGTCCCTCAGGTGCTCTCACAACCATGCTGTGCGCAATTCGCAGTCAGTGCAGATCGGATCCGACGAATACCCCGGGAAACTTATATATATTATCGAGACTGGATTCTCCAAACTTCGTTATCCGATAGCTTGTCAGGGCGAGTGTGGGAATATTTATGGCAGTACGTCTTTGCAGGAGTTGCAGAACTGTGTCCAGAGGACCATGTCTGTTACTGCGAAGGATACGGGATATGTTTCGAAGGGAAAGTCGAATACCAATATTTTTATGAAATACAGTCACTGGGGCAGGATATCCAGAAGCAACTTAATGCACTCAAGAGGGATGACGGAACTGTGATCCCGGGATTCGAAAAGAAAGCCAAGGCTATGCAGGCGAAAATAAACAAATTAGTGGTTGAGATCGAGGAAATCAGATCGAGGGTTCTTAGGGAATGAAAGGAACTCGAGCATGGTTCTGCTTATGAATGTAGGGCGTTGGACATGTTTGGATATTTATGTTTGTTTGATTTTTCGGTTGGTTTATACTTAACTGGTTCGCGGCTGTTCCCGGGCCTTATTCCATCGTTCACGTCGTTCAGCGTCTTAGACACAATTTTGTCGGGTTATAGCTCTTCATGGTTCTTATAGATTACGATGCCGAAGCTATTTACGTTAATCAGGTTTAGGTAGAGAGAATTATGTATAATATGAAAGGAATGACTTGGTTACTATCTCGGGCTTGGAAATATTATTGAAAACTTTCATAGTCTTAAGTCATTATGGTCCATCAGCCAGTTGACAGCCCTCCTCCCATCCTCGTACTACTATGAAGCTATCCTGTCGGATTGACCTGTCAAGTTAAGCTTCCGATTAATCTCGGTGATAGATACACCGAGCGGACAATTGACGTCAGAGGAAGATCGTACGATCCGTCGTTTCAGCCGGTGATAGGAGTAGACATCTTGGTGGTAGAGAACTATTATTGAAGATTCACAAACATCCCTCCGTCAACTAGAAGCTGTGCACCCGTCTAAGTTCCAAGTCAGTCTAGTTTATGATAAAAAATCTGCCAAAGTAATTACACTCACCACGTAACCACTCAGTTCATCGCAAGCTAGGAACACAGCAGGACCAGCTAAATCCTTGGGTTCACCTAGACGGCCAAGAGGCACTCTACCCTCCATGTACGTTCTTTTCTTATCATCCTTCAAGTCCTCCTCGTTGAGTCCCGTCCGTATTGTTCCGGGCAGTAAGGCATTGCATCTGATTCCAAATTTCCCCAGAGATACGGCAGAGGATTGCATTAATGACAAGATACCAGCCTTTGTAGGGGTATAATGGGCTTGAAGGCCACCACCAACAAGGGCAGATATGGATGAAACTCCAATTATCGACCCTCCTGGAGGAGACTGGGATAGTGCCATTTGCCGAGCAGCTGCTTGGGTGACGTAGAATGCACCACTTAGGTTGACAGATGTAGTTCTGTCAAACAGCGTAGGCGATATCCTATCACACTTATTAGACGGCTGTTCAGCCACTTGTTAGGGCCATCTAAACATACTCTAAGAATTCTTTAAACTCGCATATTCCAGCATTGCTGACGAAAATATCCAGTCGACCAAAGGCCGATACTGTCTCTCTGATGAAATCAGTCCCTGTCTCTGGCAACGAAACGTCTCCGGCGACAGTGATGAGCCTTCGACTAGATGAAATCTCCTTGCTTTCAGAAGCAAGGATGTCTGCAACCTCTTGCTTCAGCGTTGATATCAATTCCTGTTCATGGTCCAGCCCGAGATGGTTGACAGCTACGTAGGCGCCCTGTCTGATATATTCTAGAGCAATGGCCTAAGTCAAAGAAACACTGAATGGTTACATGTCTAACCCCAGAATTATAGGGATAGACACGCATGTAACCACTGCTGGTCAACATCAGGGTCTCGGGAAGGCAGAGCAGAGGATCTACATACACGTCCTATGCCTGTCAATCCCCCCGTTATTGCAGCCACCTTCTCGCTCAGCAGTCTTGGAGAAACCATCTTTGGTCTTGATGATACAAAAAGCAACTTATTCCAGAGTGAAGAAAGGCTCATCAGCCAGGGCTAAATATAAAAAGTGGATGAGAAGTCGACTAGCGGCTGGAATACGAGAAGCCGAATACGCTTTCTTGACTTTTGCGGCAAGGATAAACACTTCGCCTCTCCATATTTCTCCATCCGCTAACAAACTACTAAGCCACTCTCCACGATCATCGTAGCTGGAGATGAGATGCCAGGTCTCGGCTGTAAGATTCCGGGGGCTGTCTGGTAAACGACAAATTACCGTCTTTGGCTTTGGCTGATAGGTATGGACATGGGATATAAAATGTGCATAACAGAACGTTGAAGACAGAGAAGTTCTTCATGTCAACGAAGATAGTAATATTCAGATTTCATTCTATACCCACAATCTGTCATGGTTGTTTGCTTTCTATGGCTTTTGTTGCCATACGCAGCAACTACTTTATCTGCCTCCGTCCCAGGATGTGTACCTAGCGGAGCATTGCTGCCGCGCCCAACAGAGCTGAGTCAGTCACAGAATATCAAAGATGCCACTGAGAGGCTTTCTCGATCTCTGGACGATGCAGTCTCAGGGAGGATAAAAGCAGGCTGGGATATCGCCAATACGTCGTTCTCAGTTTCTATCGTCTCTCCCAACGGTGGAGACCCAAGAACCGGTGTCCTGTGGGAATACCATCATCTTGCGGAGAAGAATATTAATGGGACCAAGCATCTGGACGGTGACTCGCAGTATCTGATTGGATCGGTATCAAAAATATTCTCTGACTTGCTTCTTTTGAAGTCGGACGTGGATCTACAAGATCCAATCACCAAATACCTTCCGCAGCTCAAAAATGCATCTTCGCCGATTGATTGGGATAATATCTCCCTGCTCTCTCTTTCAGAGCACCTTTCTGGGATTCCAGCTAATACCAGTTCGTCTTCGTATCGAATGATTGCATGGGTAATAATACTGACGGTTATTTAGTTGGGGCACTTCAATTCTACTTTCTAGAACCCCTATATCGAGCACTTGGATTCCCACCCCTAAACAAGACTGATTACCCTCCATGTGGAATTGCAGACTTAAATAAAGGGTGTACACCAGAAGGTTTGTAGATGCAGAGACCTTATTATTTCATCTACTAATCACTTCTTAGAGCTTCTTACCGAGCTTGTCAACTCTCATCCGGTTTCTGAGCCTTACGAAAGGCCAGTTTATTCCCAGCTATCGTTCACACTCTTTAGCCTAGCACTTGCCAATGATACCGGCAAAGATTATGCTCAGATGCTAGAGGAACAAGTCATACGCCCACTCAACCTAAGAAACACTGGTGTTTCCCCTGGAGAAGATAAGCGTGCGGTTATCCCCAATGTTGAGCAGCAGGGATGGGGCGCCGATTATGGATATAATGCTCCGTATGTCTTAATATCTTCCTTTTAACTTGACAAGCTGCTAACCGGTATATAAGTGGAGGCGGCTTGTACTCCTCGTTGAACGATCTATCCACCCTTGTCACCAAAATCCTCGATTATTCCATCCTCCAAAATCCTCAAGCTACTAAAAAATGGCTCCAACCAAGATCTGCTACCTCATCACTTAACACTCTCGTTGGCCAACCTTGGGAGATTCTACGGACTTCTGGTATGACTCCTAAATATCCACATATGATTGATATATATGGAAAAAGTGGCGGTGCACCGGGTTATATTTCCCAAATCAACGTTATCGATCAATACGGAGTCGGTGTTGTTCTGTCTACAGCCGGGCCATTAGATTCTAGGGCTGCATATATCATTAATGAGGCCGTGCTCAGTGCTATACTTCCCGCCGTTGAAGATGAGGCTCGCAAACAGGCAGGAATGTATGTCGGTGAATATACGAGCCAGAAAGTTGACAACGAAGACGCAACAGATTATGCCCCTATCAAGCTTAAAACAGTCATCGATAATGGCACGGGCATTAAGCTGGAATCCCTCTCACGCAACGATTCTGATATACTTGAAGGTATTCGCAAAGTTTGGTCTGCTACCCTTTCTACAGTGGGCCAGCTTGCTTCGGAAATGAGGGTATATCCTACTGGCTTAGAGAGGCTTGCTACGAACGACAAGAGCCTTGTTGAGCAGGACTGGCGAATCAATTTTGACTTGATTCCAAATTTCAATGAACAAGCATCTGATCTTCCGGGTTTAGGAAAACTTGAGGCTCTTTGCACGTCATGGCAGACCGTGGATTGGCTATATTATGCTGGCGTACCGATGGACAGGATTGTGTTTATTGTTGATAAGGAGGCTGGCAGGGTTGTTGGTGTGGAGATCCCGTTCCTTCGAAGCGGGATTATTCAGAAGTTGAATTGATGATCTGTATAACAATTACCGACTGTTTATGTCGTTAATTTGGTTCTAATTTTAAGTATTGAGTCCTTGAAGGTATTTAATATAGACGGTACACATGCATTAATCACAGCCTCTTTCTACATTGGTTGAGGGGGGAATGTAAGCTTAACATCTGCTGGGAACTTCACCTGGAACTGCAATTGTCAAGACCAAACAATAAATCATCGAAAGGCGGAGATATCCGGAGTATGATACTGCTCTCATGTGTTACACACTTATAGGTATATAGGTGTAGCCGCTGAGAAAAAGCAGAGATAACAGCCAACAATACTTTCCATCGGAGTGATATAGTTAGTGCCATGGTACAGTCCCATTGGTTGTTGGGACAGAATTTTCGTTGCCATGTTTTCCATCCTTCCGTGAAGAAATACTATCATCTCGAAGCGATTTCTGCGGGCCGGGAGTAAGAATATAACGTGTGGGTATGAGCTTCGCGGCGGGATTCAACTTAAGCCCAAAACCAGGCTCATCTAAGGCACTGACATCAAGATAGCCTTTGGAAGGAATCGGTTCGTTCAGGAACAAATCGCCAAATACAGGCTGTACTGTCTTTCCGTCAGGTGAGTTCGCCAGGTATTCCTGGAATGGTGAATTCGGCTGAGACACAACGAAATGGTAAGAATAAGGGCCAGAAGCATGTGGCACAACGGGAATATCGTAAGCAGCCGCCATTGCAGATATTTTCAGCAATTCGGTCATTCCTCCCACCCACATAACATCTGGCTGTACAATATCCAGATTTCGGGACTCGATAAGCTTTCGGAAGCCATATCTAGAGTACTCATGTTCACCGGTGGTGAACTTGATAGTTGGATGAGCCCTCTTGAGTAGGGCTTGGCCGTCGACGTCATCGGGGGACAAGCATTCCTCCCACCAGTCAATGTTGATACCCGCGGCCTCACAAGCTTTGACCAGCTCGATCGTATATGGAACATTCAGAGACATGTAACAGTCAACTCTTAGCGGAAAGTTTGGGCCGATCTTCTCCCGTTGTTGTTGTAGATATTCCACGTTCCTAGCTAGACCACTTGCACCTTCATCAGGACCATAGGGGAGCGCTACTTTGGCACCGGAAAAGCCCATCGCCTTTGAATAACCCGGCTCTGGACCAGTGCAGTAAAAATCCAGGCGGGAACGGGTTGCACCACCGATAAGCTTGTAAACTGGTTCGTTGCGGATTTTCCCCAGCAAGTCCCAGATAGCTAGATCTATGACTGATATGACTGCGACTGTGAGGCCTTTGCGCCCATAAAACATGGAGGCCCGGTACATCTTTTCGAATGTATTGTTGGTATCTCTTGGGTCTTGAGTAAACATTTGTCAGACGCGGGACAGTATTGTGAGAGAGAAGATACATGAAATCAATCGATCCATACCTGCACCTATCAGGAATCTTTCAAAATGCTGTGCCACTAGCCAACATGCTGGGGGCCCTCCAAACCCGGTTGCAAACCCCTTGGTACCATCCGTTGCTTCTATTTCAACGCAAAAGGACCCCAGGACATTTATACCCCAGCTAGTTCGAGAGCTTCGGTATTGCTCCCATCGTGCCATCGGTGTTGCAATGGGAGAGTCAATGAGCCAATGTCCACCTTTTACCTGGAATAACATGTTAATGTACAAACAGTACACTTCACTTGAGAAGGGATAGCAGCATACATTGTGATAATCGCCTCCCGAACCAACACCATCGATAATAAACGTGTTGACCGCCTTAATAGTAGGAAATATGGTAGCCATGACGGCGTGTTGGTAAGATCTGGATAACACGGGTTGGAATTCTATGCATCTGAGAACATCTGACTTTCTGGAGGTCCTCGAGTAATGGAATCCTCAGGAGGTATATATAACTCCTCAATTTGTAGCCACATTCCACCATGTGGATAAGTATCGGTTTGAACTCGTGTTATTCACCGAGAAAGCTGATGGGAGGCGGAAACCTGCCCTTGGTGGATCGGAGTAAATAGCGCAATGCCCAGGTATACCCTAATAATTTTCATATCAACCAGAGTGCTCCCCGTAGATATTGAACAGATATTGCCATGGGATTTAGCGAACTTTGGGGGTGAAGACAGCAATTGTAGCGATAGTTTAGCCGCTTCGCAAGCTTAAGCATACGAACTTGTTGTCTTTGGTGAATTACAGGTTCCATTCTCCACCATGGCCCCAGAGCTTCTCGGGGTGAAGATACACCGAGGGGACGTTGTACCGAGGAGGCCTTCCGCCTGCCCCGTGGAGAGTTTCTCCAGATTCCTGGTGACTAGAAGGAGACGACGGTTGGTGTGAAATCTGGGGAAGTTGCAAATGTATCCATGGTGCTCGAGCTTGGAAAGATGACATATCACGCTTCTACATTGCCGTACAATGTTTCCCGCTAGCTTATGCAGCACGTCAAGGTTGCTCTCCGTCCGATTCTCCCGAATCCACCGTCCATCACCACGTTATTTGGATCTTAACTGACAACCCGAGTTGATAGGTAGGCTCGCCTGATAACGCTGCTGGAGGAATGTGGTCGTATCAATGCCTCGTCAATGCACTCGTGATATCGATGCCAAGTCATGCTGAATGAATGATCGTGTACCATACATCAATCCTCGAAGAAGAAGAAATATGGGCTTGATATGTGAGTTTGAATCGATCCTTCAGTAGCTGGGAGCAAGCCCTGCTGTCATCTCTAGAGGTTGAAGATGCACCCAACCAGGATGCCACCGAAAACAAAACGCCACCCATAAGGCCAGCTTGATGCGGGCGTCACTTTGACATCTCACATCCGGAGAATTCTGGGTCCTGACGTGTTTTTAGGTCTCAATAGACAGCAATTGAAGAAGCGAGATGTTGATTTCTTCGCACGTTGAATCCTCGAGGTTGAAAAAACGTTGGCTGCCCCTTTCGAGACGGCAGTTATGTAAGCAACCGTAAACGGCAACCTTGTCTTCTTCAACCTCCTCGAACTCTTCAACATCAACATCAGCACTGCGATTGAACGATGAAGACAGGGTCAGCTTTCGTCTATTATTCCGCCCAGTTTGCCATAGAGAGTGGGGGCAAGGTCAATTTATGGGTCCAGCACGCGAAAGGCTTTGAACTCGCGAGGTCCGAGCTAGTCATGGCAACATTGAGATATCGCTTGTTGCCCCCCGTTTGAACGTCCTGATAACCAGCTAAGTGGGCTGCATGGGCTCAGCTATAAGGATCTCAGCAGTACTAGCAGCAATTGGCCAGGCTCCAGGTCATGAAGCTGCTGACGCTGGTCCTCAGATTGTCTTCCAGAAGCGAAAGTCCAAAAAGCCACGCGAAGGAACCCCCCCAATGCGAGACAGCAATCGATAATGAATAGCGAAACAGACGGACAGCTCATTGCCCTCCGGGTAGAATTGACGCGAGCAACGAGCCAACGAAGTTGTCCGATCGAAAAAGGAGGTTGTTGTCCCCGAATATTTTCTACTCATGCGGCCAAGGATGAACCATGGCAGACTCGATGAGCGAGGCCTTTTCATCCTAGATCCTGGGCTTCTGATAAATAATATTTCAAAAATAGCCCAAGCCCACGCAGCGACATCCCCAACGTACAAAAATAATAATGGGGCGGCGGAAAATTCGCTAATACTTCCCGAGAATGATATTTCTGCTCCGAATTCTCCTGAGACATGTACGCCCTCAGATATCGAAATCTGGTGTAACATTACAGTTTCTGAGAATATCCTCCGGTTTATTAACTAGTACCATGACAGCGTCAAATTCGAATGAGCACTAATGCCTGGTTGGTAATTTCCGGCGTCTCCTACGGAGTATGATAATATGAAAATTCCGATTTCATCTGGGGTCTGGAGAGTTGGAGTACTCTGTACCGCAGAACTGGTTAGTTATTCTGAGACTGAATAATAATAAATTCTGTCAAGCTATCACTAAGAGCCTTAGAAAGCTCGAATATAGTCGAGATATGAGACTTGTCCAGGTCCTATTTTATCCATGGCGCAGCCAATGAAAGGACTTGTGCACCCAGGATCACGACGTGGTCTCGGGTGGGATCAGCCACCACGCCCCCGGAAACCAACTGGCCTGTCAAGGGCTCGACCCTCGAAGGCCCAGGTCAAGGGCTGAAGCCATCAGACCTTTTTAGACTCCGCCAACCAGTCGACACGCCTTTTCTCTTCCCGGCATATTCCCTCACATGGCTTGGGGTGAGGCCTTGGCAAGACGATGCCGCTGCGACTTGGTTTAGGGACTGGCGCCGGACTGTGCCAGACGAGATCTCTCCGTCAGCTCTCTCCCCTAACTTAGCCTGACCTGGTTAACTGGGAATTTTGGCCATATCGACAGCAGTCCGACTGCGCATAACCCAACCCGTACAGCTACTCCGTACTTCGGATCGGCTCTCCGGAGTGCTTGTTAATGTGCGCCGATGGAGCATGCTTTTCCTTCTCCACACGGCTTCAGAAATGCCAACACCTCGCCTCCGGCTGCTCAGGTCAAGACCGGGAGACGGGCGGACGATCGCGATGAAGTCGAAAGTCCCGAAGACGCCTGGTCGGGGCAGGATAGCGGCAACGACGCCGGCGCAGCGGATCGAAAAACTTCCCAGTCCTCGGATCAGTCATTGAAAAGGAAACGTCCGGTGATGGTCTCGTATATCAACCCACCTTCCTTGTTATTGTTTTCTTTGATTTCACGCTTTTAAGGAGCCAACTCATGATGCTATCGCTGACCAACCCAGATGCGAACTTTGTAAGCAGAGGAAAGTGAAGTGTGGTGCGTATAGACCAATTCCGAATTGAATAGAACACACAACTCATCGCAACCTGGTAGATCGCTCTCAACCCAGCTGTGGCTGGTGTGCTCGGAACGGCCATCCATGCGAATACAAAGAACGAAAGAAACCAGGTTTGAGAGCTGGGTATGGAAGGGAGCTCGAACAACGGCTAGGTAACGGATCCCCCTATGTAGAATTGCGTGAAGCTTTCCCTTATTCTCCGAGACGTACAACTGATGTCTCCTCTCCATAGATCGCTTAGAGGAAGTTATCCAAGCGCAAGCACGTCTCATAGAAACGCATATAATACAAGCCCAACAGCGACCTGGAAATGAAGTCCAATCGAACCAGTGCCCACCGACGACTACACTGTATAGTTCACCGTCAGACCGCTCTGCTGCTCCCGAACCCAGCCCAAAGGATATTCTATATCCCCATTCAACAGCCTCAAATTTCCCTACAGCGCACCGCCGTATCTCGGCTGTAGCAACTTATAACCAAGAGCAAACCACATCCACGCCATCGGATAGATCATTCAATACCACTTCGCCAATTCAGCTTCAAAATGGCCTCTCTCCACAAAAGGTACCGCCGCCACCAGGGGAAACGCAGCAGCCTCATTTTAACACCAGCGACTCATCATCCTTGAGGATTCCTACCTACTCTTCAAATCAAGATAGTGTTTCCCTCGCCGATCATAATGCCGATCTCCCGCCCTATGATCTTTTATATTCATTGGTCGACCTTTTCTTTGAGCATATTAACGGCTGGCTCCCTATACTTCACCGGAGAACAACTTTGGATACGCTCTTTGGACCGTCGCCATTAAGTGAAGAGGATAGGATGCTGTTATACGCTATAGTTGCAACGACTCTCCGATTTTCAAAAGATACACGGCTCAATGAAGAAAATAAGAAACGATACCATGACGTGTGCAAACAGAAAGTTATATTATATGGCTTGGATAATTCCTCAGTCACGGCCTTACAGGCTCTGGTAATCTTGACGCTGGACGTCGTTGGAACATCGAATGGCCCGCCAGGGTGGAAATTACTTGCAGTCATCGCTAGATCTGTTGTCCAGCTCGGCCTAGCTGTAGAAGCTACATCATCTTTAGTTGCAACCATGTTTCCATCTATATATACACTTAGGGCTAACATCCTTCCTGACTCTAGGAATTGGGTAGAAGATGAGGGCAGGCGGCGGCTATTCTGGGCTGCCTATCTATTAGATAGGTATTCTACAATAGCCACGGCCTTCGATTTCGCACTAGATATTAAGGAAGTGGACCGGAAACTACCATGCAAGGACGAATATTTCGTCAAAAACCAACCAGTTGAAACGAGGTTCCTGGATACCCATGAACAGCTGGAGTGCGTAAGCCGCAGCCAATATATGGGCTCCTTCGGATTCTACATGGAGGTTCTAGGCATCTTGTCAAAAATACATTTGTTTCTCAAACGGCCTGTTGATATCAGTGCAATAACTGATGTTAATCAGTGGCAATCCACCTACCGGAAGCTGGATAATGAACTGACTGCATGGGAATACCAACTACCGAAAGAGTATTCATTCGCCATGTCCACAAGATATTTGGCGCCTTCGAAGTCTAGGTCCGTACATTGTGGCTGGATCATGTTGCATGCAGCATACCAAACGTATGTGTCTTGTCGAGCCCCTATCTCTTGTATCCACTGACTTTAATGTAGCACTATAATCCGGCTACACTCCTCGGCTGCCTATCCAACTACGCGTTCTCCCATTTTCACACCCTCATATGGTGCCATCCAGCGGTGTCTGGCTGCCGTTGAACGAATTCGGACAATCGCTGGGTTTGTCGTAGACAACAACGTCCTTGACAAATTTGGCCCCCCTTTTGCATTTACGCTCTGGGTGTCAGCTCGCCTCCTTCTTGTTAACGGCTCAACTGTAGCCCATACACTAGATCCTGCAATTAATTTCTTTGTTGACTCACTCCGCCGCATGGGCCAATACTGGAAAGTTGCAAAGCGGTACAGCGAGATCCTACAGCGAGTCTTGGATGAATACAACGAGTTCGAACAATCTGGTTCTGCGGATGCAACCCGTACAGCCCCATCGTCAGTAAAGATCCTAGCTGACATGAGACGGTGTGCTTTTGATCTGGACTTCTTAATATCTCATCAACCCCCAAGGGCTGGCAGTTCCAGCCATACACCAGTCGCTGGAGGATCCATAGCATCTGTAGGCGGATTGATTACCCCGAAAGCCACAAATGCCACTCCTATTCCACCACAGCGCAACCTCAACCCTCATGAACTTGAATATCTGGATGTCTTTGATTTCTTCAATGTACCCCGCATTCCTCTCCCAGGAGGAAACACTGCTACTCCACCAATAAATGGTTTAGCGGTAATGGATCAAGCACAGCAAGTAACGGTCCCATCTGCCCAGCCACAGACAAACTCCTCCGCTGTGACTGCGACGGTCGGGGGAATATCAGTGACCGATTTGGCCAATGCTGCCGCCGCTGGTGCTGCGGCTGCAGCACAGGCAACAAATGAGTTCAATATCACTAACTATATGGTCCCTACACCGGAGACAGATTGGTTATTTAGAGCTACCGCGTAGTTCAATATCTGGAATGACGATGTTTCACCAAGGGAAAAAATGCATTTGTTTTTGAGAGCCAGTTTTCCAGCATATGTATTCTACTCATTGAACATACTATAATGTTAACGCAGCTCATGAATTAAAATTAGGTTGTATTAATTTCCGCAGCTGCATCAACCTCACCCTACCACTGAAAATTTTCAGCTCTATATCAAATGCCGTCCAAAGCCTCTAGAAGAGCCTACCTCTGCCAGTTGGCTTTCAAATATAAGAATAGGCCATTATGAACTTAGTACTTCCCCCATAGAAGATAACACTTTCCTACTACCCCTGTTGAAGCTAATTGCCATTCCTGGGGTCTTTAATGATATCAAGTAAGGTTCGACAAATTCGGTTTGTTTCCCAAGGGTCGGTTTTGAGCTCAAATCCGTGTTCAACAATGTCCATGGTGTGAAATCGTGAGCCATAAGGTACCCATGCTGGTGCGGGTTGGTGGCCAAGTGAAGGAAGTGAACCATCCTTCTGATATTTGGCATGGATGAATTGGCCTAGAAATCCTTGAGCTTGCCTTACCGCAACCTCGCTTAAAACTGGAGTTGTTGTATTATCGACGAAGAAGAAATCTAGAGGCGAGATATATCAGTATCACGAAAAGAATATGGAATTTCCATAAAACCTACAGAGTAGATCCAAGGCATGTGTTGCCGGAGGAATACGCATCACATATCGGTAAGCTTTGGATCCGTAAGCCTTTGCAATACTGGTCGAATGGCATGCAAACACAACAGAGGTGATCCAGTCCCATGCTAGCATTTCGGGCTTGCCAGGTGGATAGGGAAATAGGTTTTGAATTCGCTGGACGGTCTCATTACTTGCAGTAGGAAAGTTTATTCGAACGTAGTCGGGGAATCCGTCAGGCATATTGGTATCAGAACTAAGACCATTTCCCTCGAACGCGGTATTTGCGGCTATGACTCGCTTTACTTCCTTATGGTATCTTCCCTGTTCGAAGAGGATCATAGGTTCGTCCGGGACAATATCTCCATCAACCAGGGGAGAGAACCCAACACCAGGACCGAATGAGGCCCCTCCGGTTCCGGTTGGCACTTCAACTATCAGATGGTGGTTTGCTGCTTTAAGAACTTCTGGTGAAGCGGCTCTAAGACAGGCAGGGTTGGTACAATTCGTAGATTTGAGAACTTGGTTGTAAACGTCTTGTCTGCGGGAAGCTACATCTCTCCGGGGCATAATTGCTGGAGATTGGACAACCGCCTATCATTTTCAGATCATGTTAACGAATGTATAAAACGCACATTACAAAGGTATCAGACGTACCTGGGAAAACGGAAGGTCACCCTTCCCACCATAGGAAGTCAACATAAGGTTAATTATACCGGCTCCTGCACTCTGTCCAATGACTGTAACCCTGTCAGAGTCACCACCGAATTTTGATATGTGTTCCTTTGTCCATTGCACCGCAGCAAGGCTATCGTGCAGTCCAATGTTGGCGGTCATATCCTCTTCAGGACTGGACATCCACCCGTAAAGACCGAGACTATAAATATCGTTAGAGGTTATCCTTTTTTTTTTTTTTTTGAGCTCATCATAAGAAAACATACCGGTAGTTACTTGTAACGAAAACGAACTTCTCGCCATATCTCTGCAATCTATCAAACAGGCCCTCTGGATCCACGGTAATACCTATGGTATCCTTGCTTCCGAATGCATATCCACTTCCGTGAATCCAGTGCAGGACGGGAACCCGATCGCCTTCCTTAACACCTTCTGGGACCTGCACGTTCAAGAACAAGCAATCTTCCTGACCCCAGGTAGTCCCATTTCGGCCCGGAAACGGAACTCCAGGATAGGCACTACTGACACAGTCCGTAGAGGGGTATTGAGTGCCGTCTTGTATACCGTCTGCCTGTGGTGGGGGTGTCATTGGCTTGCGGAACCGAAGCTCACCTACCGGAGGCTGGGCATAACGAATATTATTGTATTTTGCAACCGCAAGGCCAGAAGAAGTGATATTGATATATGTGGGTTTATGGATCGCATATCCCAAGTCGACTGGCGGAAAGCTCCTGGTGAATTGGGGAGGAGTATCACCAAGGGCACGGAAGGCAAAAATAGCCAGGAGACTGATAGCCGATAGGGACATCTCTAGCCGATTTGGTCGCCGGAACGCAGATAGTAAAGTAGGGTATGAGTAGGCGGCCTTGTGGGTTGAGTATCATTCCTGAGTTATCCGCAGGCATTACTCGAGGTATTTAAGACACTCCATGGGAGGGATTCAAACGAAAAAGATGACTTGATAGTTAAGTTTCGCTGAGCCACCATGACGTGGAAATGTAATGAGGTCTAAGAGTGAAACATTGAGTTGAAATTGCTCCTCCATGAGTATGAAAACACTCATGGCCTCATTGAGGGAGCTTCTTTGCGAAAATGTGCCTGTTTAGGGTATGTCTCGTATAGTCTTACGAGTAACTTTATCAAGCCAAGTTAATTCTGCATTAGCTCCCGCCGGGAAAACGAGGCTTGTTGCTGATCCCGTATCCAAAAAAAAAAAAAAAAGCAACAAACTCGCCTGGCGTGCTTGATGGACTCTGTGCAAAAAGTGTATGAACGGGTGATATATTTCTTTCTTCGTTTATCATATCTGAATCATAAGCATAGCTAAAAACATAAACACATATCAGGATCAGGCTATTTCATGCTCGCATAAAACACTCACGAAAGCTGGTGGGGAAAGGAAACCAAAATACGCAGGGAACGTCGTAGAGCAAAACAGCCAGGAAGCAGCCAGGGAAATAACCAAACTCCCAGGCAGGAAATAGGTAAAACACCTCACACCCAAGGAAATGAGAAAGAAATATGGCGATGTCGAATCGATCATTCAGATGGGTCTTCCTCCGGCTCAACGCGGACGAGGACTTCTTCTAAAAATCCTTCAAGGAAGGCATTGATGTCCCCACCCATGCCCAGTGGTGCTTCATTATCCCATCGTTCAATCTCCTTGAAGATGCCTGCGGCTTTGATAACCAGCCTCTTGAGCTTTTCGTGGGCGTAGACTTGGCGTTGTACTTGCTCTGTAGATGGCCGTTGGCTGACTGGGGTACCTGGTTGAACTCGACACATGGAATTGAGAGCATAGGTTCGGCGATGGAGAGCAGCTTCTAAAGCTGGCAGTATAACACCATTTAGCGCGGTAATCGGTTCATTAGGATTGGGTTGATCTTGAGAAGAGAAATGAACGGTGGACTGAGAGGAGATGGAGTCTAGCGAGTCGCGCGAACTTTGATTGGTAGGACTGCGTTCTGGTGTTGACGGGACTGGTGGTTGGGGACGGGTAGAGGGAAGCGTGTGTTGCTGTTGTTGGTATGATGAAGGAGTAGATGAAGGATGAGCCGAGAGAGGTGCTGCAGGGTATTGTCCTGGAGGCTTGGAAGCTTGAGGTGTTGGCGAACTCGACGCTCCCTTAAACGGCGGTATTTCCGGCAGTTGCATCGGGGCAGGCTTCCTATGAATTTGTTCTGGAGCCGGAGATTTCGGGGGAGGTTGTGTAGGTGTGTTGTTGGGAGACTCTGCCAGCTTCAAGAAATTAAGATCCTGTGCCAGTGACCGTTGGAGGGCTCGATCATAATCATGTGTACTCGGGCTTTCCTCCTCTTGTGCTGGCAACGGAGGTTGTGGTTTCCCGAGGCCTACGGGTGTCTTTACTTGATCATGGTAAGATGACTGTCTCGGTGTCTGTGTCTGAGGAACCTGGGGCGTTGGCAGAGGTGCCCGAGATACTTGACTATTTGGCGTTGCTGGGGGTGTTTCAGCGGGGAAATTCCGTCTTTGCGGTGATGGGGGGTTCTTGACAGTTTCTTTCGACATCTTTCTGGGTATGTTTTCCTGAGAAGTAGGAAGACAGCCGCTGCTTGACTGAGCACGGGCGTGCATGTTGGGAACTTGTGCTCTTGCGTTTGCTGCAGCTTCATTCATGGCACGCAGTCCCGCAGCTCTATTTCCTCCAGCAGGGCGTACGGTGCCAAAATCCCATAGATCATCATCACCTCCAGCCATGGCAGGTTGATTTTGCTCTTGCTGGTGATATGCATCGTCTTCATCATCATCTGGAAGTCGATTTCCATTCTTTGCAAACCACCGTTCATACCGCTCTATGAGCTCGGTCAAATATGTCGTCTTCTTTGCTCGTTTCACGAACGGATGCCTAAGTAACTCCTTTGCGCTCGGCCGTTCTCTTGGGTCACGTCGTAAACAAAGATCAACAAAGTCCTTGAATGATTTGCTGAAAGCACCTTGGAGAGTGGGTGGGGCGTTCTTTGGAATGAGAAAGAGGACTTTCATGGGATGGATATCGGAGAGTGGTGGCTCGCCCATGGCTAATTCAATCGCCGTAATACCCAGTGACCAAATATCAGCCTTGTGGTCGTACCCCGACTGTTTGATGACCTCCGGGGCCATCCAAAAGGGGGTTCCAACAAAGGTGTTTTTCTTGGTCATTGTAGCGGAAAGTTGACCGGAAACGCCAAAGTCAGCCAGCTTGACCTGTCCGCTGGCCGTAAGTAACACATTTGCAGCTACATATGCGAGTTAGCAAAAGGCAACTTTCACTTATAAAAAGCTTTTGTCGGGCATACCTTTAACATCACGGTGTAGTTTATTGTCATTATGCAAGTAATCGAGCCCCAAAAGCAGTTCTCTAAGAATAATCATGATATATTCCTCCGATATGCGCCCTGCACGCATCAAATCTGAGCAGCTCCCTCCCGAGCAGAATTCCATTATGATCCAAAGGTCTGATCCTTTGAGGAACGAGCCGTGGTACTTCGTGACATGGGGAGAATTGAGTTCTGACAGGATCGATATCTCCTGTATGATATCCTCGACTTCATCATCTGCATTTTCGACGTCGATGATCTTGATCGCAACTGATTGACCGGTTCTCTTGTCGACTCTGTGAGGGTACAAATCACGTCAGTTATATTGTCCAGTATCTCAACAGACAAGCGCACATGGAGCCCATACCCCTTGTAAACCCTCCCAAAGCTTCCTCCGCCTAACGAAAAGAAGGACACGTTAGATAGCCGTCTCTGCAAACGGATTCCGGGTTCTGAGAGAGGGGGGATATACCGATGCAGTTCTGCTTTGTGTAGAGTGTTTCAGGGTCGAGGGCGCCCTCCATCATGACGGACGCTCACTCCAGGCTGCGAGAAGATGTGATAGAGCCGTCGATAGCTATCACAGCAGCGTGCATGGAAAGGTATTCTTGCTTCTCTTGAGTCTTTTCTTTTTCTTCTCTTCCTTTCTATCTCCCGGATTCTTCGAGTAATTTTGGTGTGTTTATCCGATTATCGTGCAGCGCGAGTGGAGTGTGGGGGGGAGCGGCACCACCAAAACAGCGCCCAACCGGTAGAAAGGAGGGCGATGGCGGCTCGTCGAAAAGTTAGAGAGCGACGTGTCGGCCGCCTAGACGGTCAATTCTATGCCGCGAGCAGGGCAAAGGTGGTAAAGGCGGGCGTGTTTGGCCGCAGGACGAATGTTTGGTTGTTTTGTTGTTGTTGTTTTTCCTCGAAGCATCTTTTCGCGGGAAAAGGCGCTGCTCGCTGGCCGGCCCAGCAACAGGACCGGCCAATCAGTCTGCAGAGCCAGGATATAGAGCTGCCATAGAGGCTGTTGGGTTGATACATAAGGCAGATATAGGTGTGGGTGGAAGTGCAGATAGCAAGATACTGCTTGGTATTGAAGTGAGGCTGATAGACCGACGTTGAGATAAGAATAAATAGAGTCGTCTGCATGCGCAGATAGCTGGCTAATAACTAGATAACACTCTGAATAGCTAACAGTAAGAAAAACACCATCCCCATAGCCAGCTGTTTGGCCATTGTCCATCCCTTTATAATCTCCCTTTATCCCTTCTAGCAGCTCCGGTAATGTATATATCTATCATAAGTCATATATAGGTGGCTGATGCTGCATATCAGCCCCTGCACTGCGGCCTCCTTATAGCTATACCGTTAAGGTCATCGCCATATAGACCAGTCAAAGGCCACTCCATTGGCTAGCAACTACCAGACGGCGTCCAAGGTTGCCGGCATGCCAGGCAAACTGATACGCCTCTCTCTCGATACCCTTCACTGTGTTCCAGTTCGGGTATATACTGATGAAGCCGCCATTGCCCAGCTCGTAGGTGGCAGCCAGGGCAAAGGTACGACAGGAAATATCTCCCATGGTGGCCCGGGGGGCATTTGCAGTGGTGATGCACTCCTGAATAGCTTCGATCCATTGCCGAGAGACTTCAGGCACGTCTCCGATTTTCAGCAAGAGGATAACGGCCTTGTCGGCAGAGATATCTTTGTTCTCTTCGATTTTCAGCTCCCACCGGCTGCCATCGAAGATGCGGTGATAGAGAACACCTTCCTGTTGGCCGCGGGCCACAATGATACCCCAGTGGAACTTCTCACTCTGGTGTTTGGGCTCTGAGATGACAATATATACGCTGGTGGGATGCATGATGAACTTCTCAGCACCAGGCTCGTCTTCTGCTTCTCCAGCTCCAGCTCCTTCGGTTGGCAAAGGCTTTGGGGCTGTATCGGGAGCTGGAGATACGCTCTTTGCATTTGCTGGAGGAACCAAGGCTGGTGTTGGTGGTGGCCCTGAGAGGTCCGCCACCTGGATGCTGGAGGAAGATGCTGTCCTGCTCATGGCTAAGCCGTTGTCTCCGGGCATTGAAGTCTGCTGGACTAGTATACAGAGGTATATATGATGAACGATTGCTTTCACGGGAGTTCTCTTTATCTATCTATGAGAAAGACGCGTTCTAAACGCTGGTTAGTATAATTAGCTAAAAGGCGCGAGAATGGGCTGATAACACCCAACACACAATGGTCATGGGGTATACTCACACACAGCGGTTTCCTAATGGCTTTTGGCGACAGAGATGTCTCGCGTTGGGTGGTGAGATGTCAGAAGTGAGGTTGAAAAGAGGCAGAGGAGAAGAGTGGGAAATGTGCAGACAGGGAGAAAAGGAGATGCTCCGATGTTTACCTGCCACAGACAACAAGGCAAGCTCGAAGACCCAACACTCACACAGCCAGCTGCCCATTTGTATTTGTGCTACTGGCAGAATCAGCTTCAACTTGGAATGAATGTCTTTATTGCTTCCTTTTATCTACCTATGAATATCATAATGCTTTGATGGAAGAAAGGGGCTGCAGGGAGGGGGGGAGGGAGCACAAATATGCAGTTCTCCCGTACATATTACCATTAACCCACCGGACATATCAAGGACGATCCGGTGGATAGGGAAGAAGTAAAGCCCATAAGTTGAATTGGACCGCTTAAGAATATATCTCTGGGTGATGCTTGCAAGTGAAGACGGGGGTTTAAACTGTGAGGTATAGAGTTCAGCCGTGGTATCATCAGGTGTATACGTATCATCTTGCATCATGAGAAAAGAATTACAACGGGCGTCAAAAGGGATATCCTATCTAGTCTTCAATAAAGCCAACCATGACTGTTCCGTTTTTAAGACCAGCCTCTTCGATGGTCTTGTCAAGTAAGGATATTAGATTCTGGCCCATGGATACAAGTTCAAACTCCACACCATGCTTGTCTTCCAATGGCGACGCTTTGAGCCATTCGTAGAGCCGCTGGACGGGATCCGAGAGTGCAAACCGTCGAATTACACGACCTGACGAGTGGCGGAACTGGATTCTAGTGGTGGTTGCTGGATCTGCAGCTGGTTCAGTATGTGGCTTGTCAGAGGGTATCTTGAAAAATGGTGAATCTGAGGATGATGTCTCCTCATCATCCTGTCCGTTAAACATGCCCGCATCACCCGTTTCGCCAGTATCAGTAGCCTTGGCTTTGCCCTTGATATCTCCAATACTTCGAGTCAGATCGTCTGGGTCTTCGGCTTTGGTTGGTTCTGGGCCCACAAGACTGTTCTTCAACGCCATGTCTAGCATTTCTTCCTCAGTCATCGTGTCTATCTTTGACTGAGGAGTGACTTCTGGCTTCCGTTTTGCGACTGGGTTGCGGACGTTATGGTCGAGACTGTATCTATCGAGAAACTCGTGTAGCTGCATCAAAAAGTCGGGGGCCTTGACTACAGGCGGGCCACTCCAAGTCTTCACTTGCTCGCCGGTCCGTGGGTCGACGATGGCAATGTGCGGGTAGTTGTCGGCTACGTCGTGGCCGGGGAAATAGTACTGAATATACTGGGCGCCGCGCGGGTCATCTTTGGAATATTGCATAAACAAGAAGTGCGCTCTTATCGTCTCCTTGACGCCCTCGTTCTTCCACAGATCTCGATTCAATAGCTGGCAGTCAAAAATAGACGAGTCTTGGATATTGACCAGCAGCCACTTCATCTTTTCCCGGCCTTCGTCCCGTGCAAGGTCCCAAGGTAGGCGGGACATGAGTTCAAAGGGAGGGCGGTACATCTCAGCAAGCATGTTGGCCTTGGACGACGCCTCAGAAGCGCCTCCGGTTGCGCGTGCAAGGATGTTTGAGCTTGACGCATCCGCATCTTCGGTCCAGATGGAGCGATCAACATCTCTCTGGTTAAAGATTCCGGGTCGACCTGCTGTTCCAGCCGTTAGTCACACCCACGGATCAAGAAATACCAGGATGTTAACCTACCTCTACGAGCCGCTCTTGAGTGTAGATGCTCCATTATATCTGGCTGGAATCCATCATCAAGCTCTGGTCCTACGAGCGTCTCCGTCCTTCTCTCCATTGGGGCCCGAACATTATCTGTCGAATCACCACCAGTATAATACTCTTGTTGTAATCTTCTCGCCATCTCTAAATCTGCATCAAAGGTGTCACCAGCCGCCTGGGCAGCTCCCTCTTGGCTCACAGGAACACCTCCATTATTTTCATCGTCAGAATCTAGGTGTATCACTCCATCCTCATCTTGGTAACTGGTTGATCGTCCAGGCCGTGTTGATGACTGTGGAGCGGATGAGGTCGCAGTAGGTTGGATAGGGTTGCCTCCGTTCTCAAAATAAAGCTGCATGGCGCTCTCAATATTGCTATCTGCCAGTTGTAGGTACTGGTCAGCGATCTCCGGAGAGGCCCCGGTAATTTCTACGAACTGGGCCACGGTCGTGTCGGCCATGATGACGTCGGCGGCCCGTTCCGGGCAGGGCACAAGTAAGGTATAGATGAGGTAGCGTAAAAACGAAATGGCCCAACTCTGTATATCAGCTTCGATGGAAAGGTGCTCGTAAGGTAGATCGGTAGGTATGAAGCGTGGGGTAATATTAATGATCGGGGAGGGGAGGTTGGCAAATGCACTCTCAAGGACGGAAAGATACGACGTCTGCTGCTCAGGATAACAACCTGGGATTCCCTGGGTGTAATTTATACCAATAAGAAAAACCGCCAGGCATCAACTAGTCTGCGTGTTTAGCCTCTCTTCCGATGATTTTGATAAGCCGAAGAAAAGAAAAACAAGCATCACTCACAAAAGGGAAGAAGCGCGCCAAGGGCCGGGAGCGTCAAGCGGGCCGCGCTTAAGATATTCCGCCCCGTTGCCGCCAAGGTTTAGCTTAGTCAGAGTTCATTAGTCACCTGGTTTCTATTAGTCATCAATATTGCCAAGAAGGGCACAAATTGTGCACAAAAGCTGCGTCTCTGGGCTCTGCAGTCCGCCGTTCAGTTCCGGGATTTCCTGACTAGGCCCGGAACGGAAGAATGATCCATCCGCCTACTGCTTTCCCCTTCGGGAGTGTGCCTGCCAAGACCGACTCGGCTCACCTTCCCTTTCCGTCGCCCTCGCGTCGCGCTCGAGAGTCGCGCCTTCTTGCCACTTTAAGGCCCTGGCGCGCGCGCGCTTCCCGCAACCGCGTCCATGAAAAAAGTGACTTCCGCCTCGATGAAAAGGTACTTGTGCAGGTACCTCTGCTCGCACTCCACCAGTACTTCTCCCGTCACCACGCTCTCTCCTGCTGCTTTGCCAATTCAGCAACCAGACCTCTCGTCCACGCACCTCTCGCTTCCTACACCACCCTCGCTCCTAGCTTAGCCATGGCTTCTGCTGTTCTAGGGAAACGACAGAGAGCTGCTCTCGAGTCGCCAGGTAATTGCATGCCGGCCCTGGCCTCAAAGCGCTTCTTCCTCCATATCTAACGCGAATTTCCTACTGTAGATGCACCTTCTTTACGATCTCCGAGCAAACGTCTGGCAAGGGCAAGCAAGAAGATCTATACAGATGAGGAGGACCCCTTTATAACGTCGACAAGCCAAAAACGCTCCAGCTCCCAGTCGCCCACCACCCGCAAGCGCCCCAGCGATGCAAACACTCCAAGCCGTAACGTACGGACGAAACGTATTGACGGTGACAAGACGACCAGCAGGACAGCAGTTCACGACGATAATGGTGAGTTAACTTCTTTCTAGTCTTCCATTGCCTCTGGTGCTGGTGGAAGGAAGCGCCTGGCTAATTTTGTTGGCAGACGAAAATGTTCAACCTGTCGAGTTCAGCACTCCAACAACTCAGAGATATAAAAATGTTTTCCTTCCAGTTACTCCAAAGCACAGAGTACTGGTCGGGGGGAAGCCTTTGACTCCTCGAACTCCTCGTACTCCATCCACGCCAAAGACCACTCGTTCAGTCTTTACAGCTGCCAAACAGCTTTTCACTAGGAGTGCCAACCCAGGCCAGCTTGTTGGACGAGAAAATGAGACCAGCGAGATGAAAAGCTTCATTCAAGAGTCGGTAGACTCGAGAAGAGGCGGGTGCATCTACGTAAGCGGACCGCCTGGAACGGGGAAAACTGCTCTCATCGACGAAGTTTCGCGGGACCTCGAGAAGTCTGTCGACGGAATCAAGATTGCCAATGTCAACTGTGCCAGTCTAACCTCTGCACGAGATATCTACGGCAATCTCATAGAAGACTTGTCTGAGAATACCAGCGTGTTCAAAAAGAGCGAGGTGGAGCGCCTAGAGGCAATGTTCATCTCGAAGAAGTCAGCTGGTCCTCTCTACCTTGTCATTCTGGATGAAATCGACCATCTCTTGTCGGGAGATATCGAGATCCTGTACAAGCTTTTCGAGTGGTCTCTGCACAAGTCCTCGCGACTTATCCTGATTGGAATTGCGAACGCACTTGACTTGACCGATCGACTCCTACCTCGCCTAAAGGCAAAGAATCTGAAGCCTCATCTACTTCCATTCCTTCCATATACCCCAACACAAATTGCTGATGTTATCACTACCCGCCTTCGCTCTTTGCTACCTAAAGAAGCTCAGAATGCTGCAAGTCAGGTCCCTTTCATCCACCCAGCTGCCATACAGCTTTGTTCGCGCAAGGTTGCCTCCCAGTCTGGCGACTTGAGGAAAGCCTTCGATATCGTTTACCGAACCATCTCTCTTTTGGAGCGTGAGACTCAACAAAAGGCCGCTTCCGCTTCTAGCACTAGTCCGTCCAAGCTACCCTTGCTTGAGAACAAGAATCTAGCGTCAACCTCTCTCCCCAACCCTTCTGTCACAGAATATACGGCTGCCACCGCACCACGAGCAACTATAGCTCACGTTGCTCGCGTCACATCCTCTACTTTCGGTAATGGCACAACCGAAAGACTCCAGGACCTGAACCTGCAGCAAAAAGCTGCACTTTGTGCGCTGATTTCCTTTGGCAAGAAACAGCAAACTGCCAACACTGTTTATAAAACACCCTCCAAATCGCCACGATCTACTGCACCAACCAGCAGAGAGCTGTTTGAAACCTATTCCGGGCTTTGTCGGCGCGATAATGTTCTCCAGCCACTCACCGCCACTGAGTTTAGAGACGTTATCAGCAGCCTAGAAACTATGGGCTTAGTCGGAGAAGTTGATGCTCGTGGCCGTGGAACCGGCTCTCCTACAGCAGGAGTGTCCGGCCTCTTCTCCACCCCATCTAAATCCGGCCGTGGAAGACCAGCCACAGTGAAGAACATGGCAAGGACAGATGACAGTGGTCTTGTGTGCCTCGTCGGAGAAAAAGAGGTTCAAAGTCAAATCTCTGGGCCTGGCGAGGCCATTCTCAAAGCCTTGCTGGCCACCGACGAGTATTGAAGAATTTTAATCATTATTAATGTATAATTATCCACGTCATGGTTATTTATGGCGATGCATGTGTTATAACGGAGTATTTTCTCGAGCATTGGTGTTCGGTAGGGGTTTTGGTCTTGTATCTTACCTATTCTTTGTTTTCAGTTTCAATCCTGTACATTCAATCCCTGGCCTGTGGAGTACTCAAAGTGTGAATCGAAAAGCTAGTTTTATATAAACTCTGCAGATTTTATTCTAAGCCATTTCGTATTATTCTCTCTTTTAGGTAATTCATAGCCATCTGCTTTACATACAAACCCATGAACAAAGCGCTTGAGACTAGAAAAGCGCCATGAGGCTGTGTTTTTCGAGGCAACGTCACGTGATATATTTAAAGTTAAGCTCCCGCGAAATTTCCCCTTTAGGAAGTTTTGCTGGCCAAGGCTTTCAAATAAGCTTCCGCCGCCCCAGTTTTATCCGCGGCTCTGAGTAGTGTATCTAAGTATACTTGGTTTGTCCATCAATTTATTCGAATATACATTATTGCTTTCTTGGATTCAGCTACGTGTATTGAGGCGCAGACAGACACGACTAATTTCAAGGGGTTTGCAAAGGATACCTCAGGAGGAAGATGTATTTAAATAATATATAAATTTATCCCGCTACCAGCCATGTCCAGATAGAATTCATTTATTGATCTATAGATCTCGAGCCAAATCGTCCTACTCATACAGTTGCCTGCCAATACTCAAATATAAAAACAAACACAAGATTATCATCATGTCGAGCAAGGAAGACACACTGAGAGAGCTATACCACTACCTCCCCAGCAAGCCGGCCGCTATCATATTTGCAATTCTATACATTGCATCGTCTTTCCTCCATGAATATCAGTACAAGTGGGTTCACGACAGTTCCCATCGTCGACTTTTCTATCTCCAATCATGACACTGAAGCAATACTAACGTTATAATTCCAAGAGCCACCCGACCACAAAAATTCACCCTGCCGTTTGTCCTCGGCACAACATTTTCAAGTATCGGCTTTGTCACTCGATCTCTAAGCGCTCTCAAGATAGGAGACCCACGCACACTATGGAGAATATCCACCATGTTCACTCTCGGCGCCGGCCCGACCTATGCAGGTGCAGACTACTTCGTATGTGGCCGTATATTCAGTTACGTTCGATATGCAGCACCGATATCCCCACTCCGAACGGTCAGGACCTTTATTTTCTTCGACTTCCTAGCAGAAATTGGGGTATGGGTAGGGGCTGGTATAAATGACAGCAAAGATCCCAACAGCGCAAGAGCAAAGCTGGGTGTTAACCTCGTGCGGGCGGCTGTTATTATACAACTAGCACTGTTCGCATGTTTCGTTGCCGTTGTGTTACTGTTCCAGATACGGGCCACTAGCCGGGGATTTTGGAGAGCAAGCCACCAGCAGTCCGGGGGTACTCCCGGATGGGTTAAGGTCATATACACTCTGTATGCGTCTTCCCTTTTAATTGCTGCGAGGTCCGGGTATCATATTGCAGGTAAGTTCATCAAACCCCAAACCATAAGATAGGTATTCTGACAATTTGTCCCAAGAGAGCTTTCTTCCTATCGATCACCCACTTAGAGCCACGGAAGCACCTTTTCTGTGCCTGGAAGCTCTTGTGATGTTCATCAATGCGGCCATGTTCAATGTGATCCACCCAGGAGTTCTTCTGCCGAGTAATCCTCACGTCTATTTGCTTGCAAACGGTATGGAAGCAGAGGATGATAGTCCCGAAGGTACTCTTGAGGACACTCGGCCTTTGAAGATGAAGATCCTTGATCCATTGGATATTAAAGGCCTGTTTAGGAAAAAGCAGCAGCTAAAGCCTTATCAGCAGAGACCGTTGGGTGGTGATGACGAGACTATGTCTGAAAGTATGATAATGCTGGAAAATAGGCAGCACGGGGAGTTCCGCCAGTGAATATTTGTTACCGGGTTGACTCTGGCGTTTGGCCGTGGGTATTTTGTATCTTGTATCAGAATATATAGAGGTTTTATGATATCATATAATAATAATTGTATATTCACTGCTGAATAATGTCGACCACATTGACAATTGTATTAAGCCTTTATGATGCAGCAACGACGTTCTTTCGTAGCATTTAGACAACAGGGTCCGTTCCGTTAATTCCTGGGTATCATACGCAATTACCGGAAGACCTGCCTCTTAAGATGAATCAACCGCTAGAATGGAGTCACATTAGGGGCAAGAAAGAGAATGTGAGAAGTTCGCAAAACATATAAATCTTAAAGAGACATCGTACAAAAAGACATATCTAAGGCTAAAGTAAATTGTTAAGGTTGAGAAGGTAGAAAAATTGCTTGGGATATCGTTAAATCGGTTGCTCTTGGCATAATATCATGACAAAAACAGAAGGTAGGAAACGGGGATAAGAGAACGGAGAAAGGGGAAAGGTAATGGTGACTGTGGGTAGCTAAGATCGGGCTAAACCTAGTCATCAATCGGTTTGTCCTCTAGTGTTACACCCACAGGCTTTGGAGGAACATCCGATCCTGAATTATCACCTTCATCTCGCTTTATGCCGGTAATATGACTGTATCGGGAAGAGCGAGAGAGTGAGCCTGTTTTCTTAACTTCATTAGTGACAGATGATGGAACTGCAGAAGCGGGTGGTGTTGACGCCCGATCAGCAGTTGGAGCATCGACAGAAGTGTTTGTGTCTTCAGCCGTCGCTGGCGTGCCCTCGCTTGAGCCATTGGTGGTACTATGTGCAGTATCTACCGGAGCTGGTGACGAATCCGGTACTTCTAGGGATTGACGGACCGGCTTGCGTTCAGAAGTAGTAGCTCCGGAAACGCTAACCGGGAATCTGGTGCTTCCAGAGCTTCCAACAGATCGGTCCCGGCGATGACGAGGGGACGGAGCAGGACTCGTGGCTCTAGCCCTGCTAGCAATTGCACGGTTCCTTTCTTCCATGTTTGCTCGTCGATTGCTTTCGTCGGTACTGATAGCACGAGGCCGAGACGCGGTGCTGCTTGACTTGCTTGATAGCCGTCTAAGTTCCCCGAATATTTGTTTCTGGTTCACAATAAGGTCACGAACAAGACGATGGCTATGCTTTTCGTCCATAGACAGATGATTCTGCACGCGCGGACGGAGGATGCATGGAGCCAGTGTCGATGCAAGGGCAGATATGTAGATCTCCTCACGGGTAGAAAATTGATCGTTCTCAGGAATGGTAAGATCGACGAGTCGCCAAAAATGAGTGGTGATGGCATCTAGGGTAGCAATGTAGGGGAGAGGAAGCTGGCCCAGAGTGCTCTGAAGTACTCTGATACGATTTTCATCGGAGGTATCGCGTGTTGTTGTGTAAATTGTGCGGAAAATTTCGTACAGCTTAGATGAGACGATTGAATCTGGGTAAGATTAGCAGGGATCATTCTCGCAATGTGAGATATAAAATTTACCTGGGAGTTCCAAGAGGTAGAGTCTCAAAACACTCGCAACGACAGGCATTTCGAATTCTTGTAACTTTTCGCCAATAGCTTCCACCTCGTCATCGACCTTTACAATTGGCCCCGAACGGCCCCCGTTGAGTTTGGCACGGAGCTTATGAGTTTCCGTTAAAGGAACATCTCGAAGCCAAATTGCTCGCCGGGCATCATCTCCTTCCAGGTCAAGATAATCTAATAATATTTAGTCCACAATCTCGTTTTGAATGATTGCATCATGAACCAGGGGCTACTTACGCCTATCAAGGTATGTCAAAATACCAGTAACAAGGACCGGAACCCGCTTTTTGCCCTCTGCCGCTGTTAATGTTTCTAAATCAACACCAAAGGTTTGTTCTGCCAAATGTTAGTTAGCCTTACGGGAGTTTCAAGAGAGGAGACAAGCAAATAAAGCAGCTCACCTTCTGTGGATTTTGAACCGCTTTCGTAGACGGCCACTTTGGGACAAAACGAGCCAGTGCGGTAATTCTCCAGCATATAACGCAGGTCACCCTGTGGCTGCATTGCCTCATGGTGAAGGACAATTCTATCCATGGTGCTCTGTAGAGATGGAATGACATTGCTGATCGTGCTCGAAAAATCGATCACAACTGTTTTGATACCCTCCAGACGGTGTAGCTCACACTGCTGCATAAATTTCATAGTGTGGAACATTTCCTCTTCGAGCTTGCAGCGGATAGCATCCAGGTGTTTGACGGCATGTTTGTAGCGTTCATTAGCCTCATCTGCCTGGCGCTTGAGTATTTCCATAGGCGTTTCATCAGTAAGCTGATTTCTAAGGGGGTTCCATGCAGCAAAACGTTCCGTCAAGGTAGGCGAGTCGACTGGACTGTCATCGCTTCCTGTTCCAGTGCTGGTGCGGCTCAATGTAGTCCCAGAGCGAGTAAGCGGTTTTTTCTTCTCCGGTACTCCGGTCATCTGGAAAACACGCTTGTCCCACTGGTATGTAGACCTAGAGCTACCGGTAAATGTAGTATTGACGAGTGGGTTCGGGCCCATGGCGCCGATCGAAGTAATAAAACCATTATCGGCCATATCCTGGCCAATTCGTTCCGCATAGCTGAGGGATGAGGCACCCAAGTGTTTCTGGAGATATTCAACGATGTCCGATCCAAGTGATGTGTTGAGATACGTCCCAAGTAAGCGAACTTTCACCTCTCCCATTGGAATGGTTTCCAGCATGTTCTTCAGTAACTGCTTCAATTGCTCTGGTGAGTAGACAATGTCGCCCAACTCCACTGGCTCCGGGTCTTCATCTAGTGGATCGGGCAGCACGATGGTGGGGGCCTTTAGTTGTTTATGCTTCGGGCTGGCTGTGGCACTCTCGGGTTCCTGGAAGGCGAACAGCTCCTGCTGTTCCCGGTCGTGGATCTGCCGGCACTTGCTAAGATACTTCTCATTAAGACTGCTCACCTCATCACATTGTTTGGCATATTCTTTCAGTCGCAAATTGAGGGCCTTTTCGCAGGTGACGACTCGGGCTTCATGCTCGCTTGCCCATCGACTAAACTCTTGGATGACGAGTTGTTGAATGCTACTCGATATTTTCTGGTGGATGGCTTGCTCCTCGACCATCTGCTTCTGCATACAATCAAAAGCCTGCTAAATGTCAGACGTAATGTTGGGCCAACGTTTCCCGGAGCAGGAACTAACCTTGCGAACACTGGCACCATCGTCACGATCGAAGCCACCGGTCTTCCGAGCAATAGCTGGAGCAATCGCACCAAGTTGTGCGGCGTATACACGCTCTGCTTCAGCACGCATCTGGGCCATCGTGAGAATCTGTTGGTTCTCCACGATGCCCTGGTGGAGTTTTGTGAACAGGGTATGAATCCCAGTAGCATAATCGGGAGTCCAGAAGGAGTCCGCGAACCCCGGCACTGCCACGGCAGTGTTCATCGCTGCAGAATAGGGAAAGGAACGTCAACTTGTTAAAATATATCAGAGCCTGACGAGGCGTGGTGCGAAGGTCCGATTCGTTTGCGATACCTTGCTCGGCCGTTGGCGCGTGAGCTGGCGGAAAGTTGGAAGCAGGGTGGAGGAGCGCCCGAAAATGCGTCAGGAACGGCGGTCAGAGAGCAGATCCAGCTAGCCCAAAGAACAGAAAATAAAAGGACAGGCAGTAAAAATGACACGAACGAGAGACGGAGCTGTCGACGGCGCAAAAGGTGAAGGAAGAGAAAGCTGAAGGATTGCGTGAAGTCGGGTTGAAGCTCGAGGAGAAGGCGAAGGAGGCTTGTATCTTACGTAGGTGCTGAGGTAAGCGTCACGTGGTGAATTCAAACGGCTGAGTAACAGTCGCCCTAGCCTGATGCGGCTTAGTGTATTGAGAAGTTTATCCGGTGTTTCTCCGAGAGTTTTTCCGGCACGGCTAAGTTTCCTTTTTTAGAAACACGCGGATTATAATTAGAAACTTGTGGCTTTGCAGGCGCTTGTCAAGAATCAACGACAGCTCAACCGCCCGGGCTTGTTTGGCTTGGTTGCCAAAGAGTTCCCGCGCCCCTTGATCCAGATCCAGGTCTAAAACAGGATTTGGTGTTGAGCGTCTCGACTTGGGAGGTCTCACGGCGGAAAAAGGGGCAAACTTTAGCCGCAAACCCCGGAAGCAACAGCAACATAAAGTGAGTTCATCAACCTCACATCGTGTTGTTTTAATCCGGCACAAGTCAATGTTTCGTAAGACACCTGTGGAGGAATCCGATGACGACTCATTAACATCTTTAAATGATTAGGGAAGTACAACACAAGTTGAGGAGTCAGAGACTTCCAGAACATAAAATAACTAGCTGAACGACACAGCAACATATTTCCAACAGACTCCACAGATCTTTGGTACAGCGATACTGTACGGAGTACTGTCTAAATGCATTGGTGCTTCCTTATTTGTCTATGGAAAGGCTAATGGATACTATATCTACCTTCGTACCTCATCATTGGAAGTAGATTACCAAGTTTAACCTGGGAAGTCATGTGTAAGTCAAAACAATTGTGGAAAGAAAAAATAGTGTTAATGCTTGACGTGGTTAAATAACAGAAAAATACGGCCAACCAGTAGATAGCCAGAAAGTTGGAAGAAACATATGATTAGACTCGACAACCGCAATTCACCATTGAAACTCCTCCATCATTGTTCCCAACTTCAGTATTCACTCATCATCAGCAGTCTTCATATCTTTGAGATTGCGCTTCCCCTTATCGGTAAGTTCGTCCAGGACCCGGTGGTATTCTGCCTGCTGGTCTTCGGCTGCAGTATTGAACTTGGCGGTGGCTAGCTTTGCGTGGGTGGAATACTTTTTCAGCCATGCTTCAAGACCCTTGCTTTTGGGATTCGCGTTGACTTGCAAAACGACGTTCAGCATCTTGGTGACGGGGTCGTACTTTCCAGCGTCGATACGTAGTGGCGAAAGGTGGTCCTTGTTCTTGGATGGGATAATACGAGCGCCTTCGGTGATAAATGCGGAGAACTTAGCAGCACCATTTTTTATATTCTTGAACAACGTTTTGGTGGCGTCGATTGTCTTGGACATGATTGTAGGTATTGGTAGGTAGAAGAGTGAGTGCGCTTGTTTTGAGGTTCTGATGGGGAGTTGAAAGATCAATTCTTTGAGGATTGTATGTTGAGGATGGGGCCGTAAGGATACATTTTATTTTGGGGAATTTATCACCCTTATATGTTGTTTTATGGGTGGCTACCATAGTAGAACCTCGTTGACTGGGGCCAGAAAAGCAAGCGTAACCTGCAAGAATCGAATGCCCGAGCTGTCTCGTCGGTTTGATATCCCCCCCGGTAAAGACTAAGTGATTGGGTGAGAATCAGCGACTAGAAAGCGGTTATGGGTATACAAATAAAACAAAGGCGCTTCATGGACAAGATGTATCCTGCATGGGTTTGCTTCAGCTTGCGTCAGCCAGAGGCGGCATAACTGGGCGGCTATGCATTGACCAACGGGGGGGTAGTTTGATGGGCGAAGTGAACCCCCGAGCTCAATCATTAATGCGTGCCTACCGAGCCATCAACAAACCATGGTGTTGGATGTATCGAGCATTGGAGGATAAATATAGGGTATGCCTATCCTAGTGAAGGTGGCGCGTAACTGCATATTGAACCCTGTGTTGTTATTAGTTAAGGGTGAAGTACAGCCAACCGTTAAGTAACTAGCCCCCTGTTGTTGTATAAGAGAACGTAATACTCGTCGCCGTTTGAGTGTACGCGTGCATGTGCTCGAATCGCTCTAGGGCTAGATCTTCATCAACATTTTGTGGAGACCAGTTACTAGTAGTACACTAAGCATCTCTACGTCGGGAAGACAAACACCGTCATTCAGTTCCAGTACAGGACGTCTGGGTTATTGCACGCGGGTATACGGGGGTATAGGAGTCTCGTTTAAGGTATAGGAAACGCGTGGGAGTACAGTCAGAGCAGCAACCTGGTAACTAGTTGGGTATTCTGTGACGGTGGTATCAGAGCAGGAAGCGTACAGTCAAGTAAGTATCTGTTGGTGTTTGGAATCCTGTCGGCTGTCACGGCATTTTGTCGTGTGATTCCGCCTGCATAAGGAGTTCAGGTAGTTTATCCAACGAACTACCCCGTTACATGACTGGTTGCACGTGACTTTTGGCCCCATAACCCCAGTGCTCCAAGCGCGTAGCGAAACACATCGTTCGTCGTATCAATTGAGTCTTCGGGTTCGATGTTGACGACGAGGATTGATCACCTTGCTCTTTCATAGAAATAATGGAGAGAAGGTGCGGTAGCTCGTTCTTTTCTCTCCTCAGACGACCGGGCCCAAATAATTTCTTTAGCCAGCCTCCATCGACAGTCTTGAGACCCTCGATCTCGGTGCTGCGTCCTCGAATTTCTACCAGAAAATTATCCCAAGAAAGAATGTTGAGAGAGAAATTGACAGAGTGTAAGTTCTGGTCTAACGTTTGGATAGTAATATATATATTCTGACCCAACAATAGCAATGTTCGCATACACTGCTGGTCGGTGGTTGCATCTTGACAAACAGCAACGCGATGCCCGATTCGTCGAATTTAACTATGACCGCTTGTGTGAAAAAGTACTCTCACTCTGTCCCTCTGCTACCTCTATTAGGAGCTTTCAGAAGATAGAGGGCGGGTTCAGCAAAGTATTTATACTTGAAACTGACAACGGCAAAAAAAATGTCGTCAAATTTCCTACATCTGTTGCTGGATCACCCCAGCATATAACGAACTCTGAAGTTGCAACAATTACTTACTGTAAGAACTGACTTGGGGTTCGATAAATATCCTGGTGCTTGCTGACATGTATGTACGTACATACAGTGCAACAAAATACAAATATTCCGATCCCAAACATCTTAGATTGGAGTGATGACCCTACCAATCCTATCGGCTCAGCCTACATCATTATGGAACATGCTAATGGCATCCTACTTCAAGAGGCTTGGGCAAAAATACCATCAGATAAGAAAGTAAAATGTATTGGGGCAATATGCACAAGCATTCTTCCAATAACTAAACTTGATTTTTCGGCCTATGGTAGCCTTTACTTTGCCAATGCACCGTTTCTTGACGATGAATTCAAACATAAATTGAGCAACAACGATAAATTTTGCATTGGACCCCATTGCAGAAGTAGTACCTACTGGAATAACAATGTTGGTGAGTCAAGGTACTACACACTCAAACCACCAAACAGAGGACCGTGTAAGTAGCTCTTACTCATGCCGTTTGCCTCCCGACTCTCGCTGATTACTTTATTAGGGCATGATCTCTCCTCATACGCTTCTGCTCTAATCGACTCTGGATTTGCCCGACTGCCACCCGCCAATCAACCTCTATCCATCCAACAGCAGGCTTCATACCAAGGTTCCATTGACAGACATGTAGAATTGCTCAAAACAGGCGAAAAAGTTTTTCCTCATCTTGTCCAACATCCAGAGATTCAAGCTAATTCAGCACCCACCCTTTTCCACCCAGACCTTCACAAGAGGAATATCTTCATCTCTCAAGACGATCCTACAATTGTGACTGGAATCATTGATTGGCAAGGTGCGAGCATTGAGCCAGCATTCTATTATGCTGATGAGGTACCTGATTTTGCCAAAATTCCTGCCGAAGGGATATCAGATTCTGCAGAAGAGTCACTTTGGTATCAGGCATATGAAGTAGGATTGGCTCTACTAGCTCCTCGTCTAGGAGCAACTAGAAAAATTGATGAGGCACTCCTCCGACCATTCCGCTATTGCCATCGCACCTGGCGGGACGGCTTTGTCCCATTTACTCATGAACTGATGAGGTTAAGGGATTCGTGGGAAAAGCTTGGATTTGAGAAAGAATGTCCCATTCCAGCCATGGGTCCAGAAGAAAGGAAATTTTATGAGAAACAGCTTGAGATATATGACGGAATGTTGGAGTTTAGACGTGATATGTTTGAAGTCTTGGCGGTTGAGGAAGACGGTTGGGTGCCTGCAGAGCGATGGGAGGAGGTAAAGAAGACGCATCAAGGTTTCTACGAGACACTTATGGACAATCTGGAAGATGATGAGTCCCGTCAGGAACTTCGAACCATGTGGCCCTTTGATCAATGCCAGCCTGAGAATCTGGTTACGCGGAAAGACAGTGACGTATAGGGCTTTAGGTGATGGTATGGAACACTATTCTGTACGATAACGATAGAGAATTAAAAGCGTCATGTCTCATTAGGGTAGAATATATATACAAGCTAGCATATCGTGTCATATATGTCGGGTGGGTCAATAGCCACAGACAGGAATCCTCTATCCCAACCCAATCCATCATTACATCCAGTTTAGACCGCCAAACACCAACCGCCAAATGAGATAAACATTAAGCATATTATATCGTGCGCACCCAAAGGTCAGCAGAATATCTTGTAAATCTTCTTCCAAGCCGGCCACTGCTCCCTATACCGTCTTTCCTCAGCGATGAGGTCGCTGATATCCAGGTCCCTCCGTCCAGTTTTTAGATCCATATCTTTCGACCTCACAATGGAGGTCCTGAACCATAACTTATAAGGAACATAGAAAACCAGTACGATAGGAGCGGCAAGATACACGGAGAACCAATTCTGCACATGTCCCTTGACAGACTTATCCTTCAAGTCAATAGGAAAAAGCCCAACCCAGAATTGGGCGATAAGGACTAGCATATTAAAAACTAAGCCAATGTAAGAGCCTATTAGACCGGGTTGAGAGCGGAAAGTAAGCTCGTTTAGAGAATGGCCTTGCACATGCCATCCACGGCGAAATCGGATATGTGCCAGACAGATAGAAGACCAGGTCATGATAGCGGAAAGGCCAGAGATGGCAATCATCCAGGTAAATGCTTCATCACGATGGCTAGATCCGGCAAGGAAGGACAGCATCCCAGCTGCAAATGCAACTCCAACTGCAAATATAGGCCTTCCTCGGCGATCGATATATGCCAAGAAACGGGGTGCTTGCTTCTGTTCCGCAAGCGCCGCCAAAGTACGTGAAGATCCGTATATTGCTGAGTTTCCGACGCTGAGGACTGATATCATAATAACCGCATTCATTACTGAGTCCAAGCCAGTAATACCGGCATTTCTAATGGATATGACAAACGGAGAAGCTTTGGTTTGCGTGGAGGTTGCCTCTGACCCGGGTCTGAGAAGGCGTTTATCGGTATATGGAACGAGAAGACCAACCATCGTTAAAGCTATGATGTAGAAGAGCGCAATCCGCCAAAAGACTTGTTTGACGGCAGTAGGTAGAGATTTTCGGGGATTTGTAGCTTCAGCAGCAGCAAGTCCGACCAATTCGGTGCCCGTGAAGGCAAATGCAGCATTCACAAAACAGCTGCATAGTCCCTTGAGGCCATGGTGAAAAGCCCCCGGATCATGCCAGTACTTGCCGCCAATATAGCTCCCGTCCGGCCCACCAGCAACATTAAGCACAATGCCGAGTATTCTAAATGGGTTAGCGATATCAGCCGAAGGTTCCGTTCGAGCGGGTTTACTCACATATAACCCACTACAGAAATGACTTTGACAATCGAGAAAATAAACTCCGCTTCACCATATCCTCGCACACCAAACAGATTAATCACAAAGATCAGAACGTAAAAAATTGTCACCCAAAGAGCTGGTGAGAGGGAGGTCGACCAATATGACACTGTAACGGAAGCGGCAACTATCTCCAGCGGAAATACAACAAGCCATTGCAGAGCATAGTTCCATCCCATCGCAAACCCCCATGCAGGGTCTAAAAAGCGAGTAGAGTAGGCTGAGAATGAGCCAGCTACTGGAAAGAGAACGGCCATCTCTCCCAGTGCGTGGACGGTGGAGTAGATCATCACCCCAACGAGCAAGAAAGCAATCAGCACCGAAGCAGGGCCACCTGTGGCCAGTGATTTACCCGAACCCACGAATAATCCAGTCCCTGTAAGCTCAAGGGAATAAGCATTTCATATATGTAATGCATTGCCTGAATAAAGGGAAGTAACACATACCTATAGAACCTCCGATAGCGATCATTTGCAGATGCCTGCCATGTAATCGGCGTTTCAAAGGCGAATTCGCCGTCGCCGCGGCAGCGCCAGCAATATCGAAGGCTTTCCGGTCAGCGAATGTTGTCGATGACCTTGTGGTGAGCTGCGCATCAGGATCACGCTTGAAGCCATCCACGAACCACCGTATGAAGGTGGCCGGTGCGCTTGGCCTGCGCCCTTCCTCATCGACGAGGGGCGTTTCTAGAGCGACTCCATGGAGGTGGCGAGGGAACTGGCCTATAGGGTGATTGTAATCTGGATAGGAGTGCGAACGAGGCACTTCTATGTCAAACGTCGACTCGGGTCGACGAGCTGTAGAAACGGATGCGCTTCGGGCGCCAAAGTCGCCTCTATACGGCATAGCGGAAGCAAGGAGTGACAGTTGAGACGCAAGCCTTAGTTCAGTCACGGATGGATGGCTTGATCCGATACTTCCAGGACGGAAACCATCACAGCGACCTTATGTTAACAGCAATATCGAATTCGAGAATGGATCAAAACCACCGGCTTGAGGAGAAGTCCGGATGCGCCTAATAGATATGAGGTAATTCAGAAGAACAGGATTTTTTGCCTTATCGGCAAACAACCTATTATATTTTGAAACGACACAAGAACGATCGCCAGAAGGAACCAGAGAGAAAAACGGATGGGGGCGAAGGGAGACTCTTAAACTAATTCCCTGGTTGACAAGGCCGAACTAAAGCTGAACCGACAGTTCGCCCCCCCTCGTCGCCCAGTCGCAGAACCAAGAAGGGACCAAGGCCGTGTAGGATAATCTTTGGCTACGCCCCCTAGGTGCGAACTGAAGCGCCAGGGGATTGTAATAGTCGCTGGCCAACCGGAGAAACAACAAGGAGATACCCTGGTTTATTCGCTGGCAGTTCCGCCGATGAAAGCCATGATTCACAGAACAGTATTAGATAGCTGGCTGACTAGTTTCCAGGACGTATGGTTTCTTTATATCTAGCTCCAAGTGCCACGGCATCAAACTCACTCTTTCCCGTAGACATGTTGCACAGCATAAGTTAGACACGAGGCCGGGATCCAAAGGCGCGAGTGCCAGGGGTGAGCTTCAACTTCGCAAGTTGGGGCTGGTTGGTGAGTTCAACGGCGAAACTTCGTATAAGCTTAAAGGAGTGCATGGATACAGCTCGACATTTGGATCGGATAAATCGGTTTAGAGCCTTTCTTAGCGAATCCTGATGACCATTTGTTGGCTCGGCTATCCTGTCTTCTCGAGAGAACTCGGTTGCTTCTCGTACTCCGTATGCAGATGCTGTTTGATGGTGGATGAGCATATCCAATTCCTGTGTCAATCAGTTGGGAGTTTCTTATCGAATCGGCGTCCTGACCGGCAACCTACCAAGCTCGTATTCACATCTGCATGAGCTGACCAAACTAGCGAAGTAGAGTGGATACGGTCCCTTCAACCTCATGAGCTCAGGACATCGTTTTCTGTCTCTGAAAGCCTGCTATTATTATTATTAAAGGTGGTCCCGGCTTGCCCAGTCCAGTTGATAGAAGGTGCCTGAACAGCCAGCCATCTACTCTCCATAGATTTATCCTCCACACTTATCTGCAAAGGAAGAATTGAAGGTGGGCCCCAGGGCTTTATGCGTACCCACATGCTACCCGGATTAACGGTGTAAGATGTCAGCCTGTTATGAAGCCCTGATACGGTCTAAGGGAAGTAAGGCCAGCAATGTTGGACATGGCGGGTCAACCTCATGCCAGTTTTCTGTCAAGAGCACGGGCATCCCCGTGTTTACCCCTGAATATTTGAGCAGCAACCAGCTTTTGATACTCTGTTTTGTCCGTAAACTGGTTGTGCACAGAAACATCTGGCGGGGCAGCGCTTGGCTCTGTCTTCTTCCGAATAACTCCTGGGTGACTGGAAATTCGGTTGAGTCCCTCACTTTGTTATCTGCTCTCCAGTGCGTACTGAGTAACAGCCGGCCGAGTCGGGGACTACGCTGCTCAAATATCAGAAAATTAGTGTAGGCAGATCTATAGATGGTCGAGTTGGATCCCCATATAAATAACTCTGCAGACCTGACGATCAGGGACAGAATTCTATCCAGCACAAAAGGAGCCCATATCGTCAGTATCAACCATTATGAGAATAATCATCCACGCGATCCAGGACTCGAATCATATCTGGCCCATCAGCCAAAACGTAGGAAATCTGCCTTCCGCCAAGCCCGTCAATACCTTTGATTTGGAATAGGCGGATCTTTTATGAAACCTGATAGGCTAATGTCTTGTCGACAATCAGGCAATGGACAGTCTCCCTTCTGCAACCCAGGATAAATATCGGAGAAGCAGTGCCCTAGCCACTAGGTGGTTGGATACCTGTCGTCCATCGCCCGTTGTCCATTCGTTGTCGTTGTCGTTGTTGTCGTTGTTGCTCTGATGTTGGAGTCCAAATTGGGCCGAAAAAGCGTTTGGCGGATTAATATTGTTCCAAAGCCGGTATCAGATTAGTCATCACGAAACTTACGTAAGGTTCATTGTCTTCCGTCCAATCGAATCAAAGAGATCGACATGCTCTGCTTGTGCTGATGATATTCACCGGTGGTGATGAACGTTCATTCCCCAAGGAAGACACGAGGCTGTCATGAAATCATTATCCATTATTTTCAAACGCTGGAAATCTATCACGTAATTGTACATCCCTTGCCCTTATTCGACCAGCACAAGTTGGTTTTGAGATTCTACAATGCTTTGCTCTATGCCCTCGTCAATCAGTCCATAATTATGGAAAAGGGGCTATTCGTGTATTTATCCGTGTTGGAGACACTTTAAACATGTCCTAGCATCAGCAATGCCTTGTCCGTAACCTATCAACCCGTTAGCATTTACTGTCTTCCTAGAGCTGATAGCGGTATATGATGAAGCGACGAACTCTGAACCCAACGGAGGTGGTTTCCCCATACCATTCTTTTATAAAAGCTCGATCATGTTCATCCACGGCTTCTAGGCTAGCCATGTACATGGACCAATGCATGGCTAGTCTTCCAATTCCCCTTGCATTCCTCTTTACTAGTGATAAGATGCGGCGCACTGCGGTTCGCACATGTGCAGGCGAGTGGTGTGCTCTCTGGCGTCCGCTGGCACTAACCCTGTGCAAGTATATTATCGTTGCTTGTTCATGAGCTTTGACAAATGCTATGATTTCCGGCAAGCTGTCATTCTCGTGAATATCGGATATACCCTTGAACCATGAGGCTGCTTCCCATGATGCTAGTCTGATTTCCAAGCCTCGGCGGATACTCTCTTCGTCTCTTGCTGACATGCCATGGCCCTGTGCGCCGTGGAACGAGTTGATATCTGCTTTGATACCCAATAATTCAGTCCAGGCGTGGCGGATGTCGTTGGAGAGGGCATAATGCCCTGGGTTAATTGTTGGGGATCCAAAAGGGATTTGCTGTCCGTTGCCATAGACTTCACGATAAGGGACTCGCTGTGTCATTCCTTCATTTGTGGATATCGCACCCACAACTTCAAGATACTCCATCAGAGAGACTAGAAAATCTTTGAATGGTTGGTCCAGAGGATTGGTTTGCCCACGTGATAGTGCCGTTGTTGAGGAGTCAAGCGAGTTGAAGATATCCCGAGCTCCAGCTAGATGCACCTTCCAGTTTTCGATTTGTGAATCTAACATCTATCAAGAAGCGTAAGCAGTGAACTGGTCTCCAAGGCGAGCCATGAGAGGAAATAATTACCTCGAAGACGCATAGAAGCAAACAAGTTGCAAAATCCGCAAGTTTGAATTGGCATCTAGGGTTACTCCAGGCTTGCCCGAGAGACTGGACAATATCCCCATACGCGTTCATGGCATAGTGGAGATGCACGGCTCTATCCTGGCCGGCAGTCGTGTTTGCAAGGTGAAGTGCCCCCACAGCACCCATTGCTTTGGATAGGATCCTGGACGTACATGCATATTGTGCCAACATGCTTCTGAACGGATTCGAGTGGTATGGTGTTTCGTATATGGAGAGAAATGTAGACGCCGTCTCCAAGAAGTAAGAATAGTATATTCCTTCATCAAATCCCAATGTTCTATTCTGCGAGCCGTCTTTGTTCTGGGCCAGGTAGTTCTCCTTCATATCGATTGATTGCATGTAGCTGCCGTTGGCTGTAGCAGCCCCGCGGGCCTTTGTCATTTCTTGGCTCGAGGTAGGTACGGGTGGTGTTTGCATGTATACTTTGAACGTAGCGTTCTGATGGGCGCCGTCACATTCTATACCACGCCTGGTGCAGTTTAAACATGCCGGTGCCGTCTCGTCACACTTGACATGTCTCTTTTTGCATGTCGAGCAGCCCGAAAACCCCCGCTGATGCCACTTCCTTGTTCGTTTCTTGCTTGCATTGTCACTGCTCGAGTCCATGCCTCAGTTAAAGAGGAGGTAAGTAAGGATGTTGAATGGTGAGGGTAGAGGTTTCAAATAGACGTATAGAACAGAACGGAATTCAATCAAAAGGGCAAGTGTCAAGGGGTATAATATATATCTCGGCCAACGGATATGTATATTTATAAATATAAGCCGTTGGAATTTTCCGTGCATTACCATCATGTGCATTTACATGATGCCTGCAAGACATCCCGTATATACGGCGCCCCCCTGGGTGACGGATTTCTAAAACAAGGCTCACCGCATAATGCGTATATCCTACAACCAACCAGCCAGCCAGTCAGTAAGTAAGAGTCCACACTTCGTCAAGGGCGGCTGGTGTTTTCTAGGCACCTTCGAGAAGACCGATGGAACCTCTCCACTTGCATGGAAGGTAAAAGCAGAGTATATCCGTTAAGACGGGGATAATTGCTATGACCGGCACGCATTACCTCCACCTGGCGTACAGGTATTTGTCCAGGGCCAGGGATATGCATGGGGCAGTGAAATGCTTCCATCTCGTTTCGTCACCTCTCAGGCGCAGACAAGTAGCCCGCTAGTCAATTTGTATGGAGAAGTGAAGAGTGCACCTGCTTCTTCGTTTCTTCTTCACGAGGCTAGCCTTTAGCGATCCTCGTGGCGAACATGGGCTTATTTTGACTTGGGTTAGGGGTCAAAAAGGCCCTGTCTGCATGGCTGGTGTGGATATCTTCAACCCGCGCATTCCTGGTATGCTGTGAAAGCAGCATGATAGGGGGGCCAGGCTGGTTGGTTGGCTAGAGTGACGCCGAGGGTTGATCATGGCAAGGTTGATTCTGTTGGGGCTTTGTATGTGGTGAACAGAGACCAAGTGGCTGTCAAGCAGGAGGAATCTGAAGCCACTGGAGGATTATTGACTCATATTATTAACTGATGATGGGAGAAGGAGAAGAGCTTCGTCGTCAGCGTCAGCGCCTGGTGGAGAAGCTGGGGTGATGAGGCTGGGATGGAGACGACAGAGTGGACTGTGGACTCTGCTGATATAACTACTCCGGCCGACGGGAGCTGACCGGCCAGTCGACAAGATATCTTAGTTAAGAAGTTGAAGACCAATAAGACAGTCCATGTCCTTTATGCATAAGTTGGTGACTTCGTCCCTTGGTCGAACTAGTTTCGGGGCCAAACTTGGCCGTATCTCGTCCGGAGCCACCGCAGTTACGTGTTACATGGCATTAGTTTCTACTACTGTCCTGGACGGGGCGAAGATAAGCATCACTGGACACCATCATCTCTTCGGCCGTTTCTGCCTTGAAAAGGTGGTTGGTAGGAAGGGGGTGGTAATTCATGGCAGCCCAGCCGAGCTGAACTAATTATACATCACGGCCAGATATTAACTGTTGAGCAAAATCGACTGAGATGCTCATCCCTGACCCTGCAGCCTTGGGCCAAAGAACACAATTCATGTATACATCTTACCGTGAGATGCGGGTTTCCGGCTTGACCTTCACTAATGATCCTCAACTGATGAATATGCTTTCCACCCAGCATCCAGTGCAGCGGTGTTGTGTTTCGAGGCACATTTGGCTAGCTAGTTATGCATACGGCTTGCATCCACTGCATCAGGCACCTGGAAGCAACGTTGCATAAGTAGTTAGCGTCTGATACTTGCGGAGTAGGGTTGGCTTTGATGCTGCCTGAACTTTGATGAAGCCTTGCAGGAGAAAAACAGTGAGGTCGACCGGCTTCCGCTGCACCGAAGCATTACGAAGCCGCAGAGAAGACGGAGTTTCAGGCAGTAGTTAGTCAAGTTGTTGATGTTTCCCTTCGGGCCGTACTCCGTCGTTTCTTCTTCCAAATCACTTTACCCCCAAAGGCCGAATGCACAAAGACCAACGCCAGGAAACAAGTAATTGGTTAGCCACTGACATCGTTCAACAGTAACACTCACGGCGATCTCCGGGGCTGGACATTTGTCTTGAACTTTTTGTCTTCTTCGCACTCGTTGCTTTTTATCCATGGTCCAGTGGTTGATGCAGTTCGAAGCTTTGGCAAGGCTCTCTCCATAATCTCAGGCCGTCAGAGTTAAGGGGAACAGCTCATCTAGACTGTAATAATAGCGAGAGAGGGAGTATATCTAAGTCTCTCCACATAGGAAACGGTCCATCACAAGGCTGGCCCGGCAATCCTGCCATGCGAGAGACAGACGTTCCAGTCAAGCGAATTTCTTGATAGTAGGATCAGATAATGCCAACTGTGGAGATGAAGCCGGACTGTGAACATCCACTATCACGAAGTCAAGGACAGGACTCGTCGGTAGAAGTAAGTAATAAAGGCATCTCCGGCTATGAATTCCGCCAGTAACCAGCTTGATGATAGGAGTTTTACCGGCAATGACCCGGCTTGAGCCGACTGGACGCTGAATCTGCTCTGTTATCGTTTCCCAAGCAGGTTTCCGTCTTCGTCGTCTTCTTCGTCTTTCTTATTTCCCAGTCTTTGGTCCAAAGACCGATATAGAATGGTACCGTCTACTGTTATTGGGCCAGACAAGGCTCAGAGTAGCACAGCATTGGCCGCCGTATCTGATATCTAACCACCATCTCGATCAACATGATGAAGATCCCGATGAACCACGGAAGAAGACAGCCAAGAGAGAGGGTCGGCTCGATCCACAAAGGCGTGTGTACCTTGGTTAAGCTTATATATATGCTTCCTTGTGCCCTTTTGCCTTGCCTCAGCGGCCGTTGAGCAGTTAAAGTGGCGACTGCTTGGTCCGTCTGTATATATATAGTCCGCAGAGCAGGCAACTCCGTCGGCCGGCCTTCATATAGAGTACCCGTAGTAGACTGTCGTTTCATGCTGTCCGTCTCGTCAACAGCCCGCCCAATGTATTCGTATATCCTGCCGTCTCGTCGTCTGCTGGCTCATGCCATGCCATCCATGCTGTCTGTCCTCCGTCGACCGCCACCACGACAGCAACACCTGCTCGCCGATCATGCCAGCGGCCGTCAGCCAGCGACCTCCCACCAGCTGGCCAGCTAGCTAGCCAGTTAGCCCGGCAGTAAACAAACAAACAAACAGGATGAGCTTGTTGTCCCTTGGCTCGCTGCAGCTGCGCGCGCACCCAGTGTGGCCCAACCTGGCCGTCCTCATGCAGCCCCCGTTGGACGACGCAGCCAGGAAGCCAGCCAGGAAACGCAGCCCTCTCGCCAGATACCTCTTTGCCTCTTCCTTTATGAGCCCTCCGCGCCGCCGTCTCTGCCTGTCTCTCTGTCTTCTGCTTGTCTGCTTGTCTGTCTGTCCAGCGGCCTGGAGAGACACTCGCCTTGGCGCTTCTTCACCTCCAACAAAGAAAAAAAAAAAGGAAGCAAAAAAAAAACAACATCGCGAGCTGCGGCGGCCCCCCTTTAGTTAAAAGGGAAGGAAAAAAAAAAAGAATAAAAAATAAAACATACGCAAACGAACCAGCCTCACGCCTCGTTTGCTCTTCGCCGGCGGTTCCTCTCCCTTCTCCCTTCTGTTCATGCTCGTCCATGCCCGCTCCTCTCCAGCACCTTTCATGCAAGAGGGATCAGGATAGGCGTCTCTCGTCTGCCCGGCATAGCGATGGAGGCGACATGGGCACCGCCAGACAGCCCCTCCTACACGGCCTTCTTCGACGCAGCGCGGCAGGGCACCGTCGACGAGATACGGGCAGCGTACACGAGCGAGATCGATATCAATGCGCTGCAAGGGGACGGGTTCGAGGGCATGTCAGCCCTGCACCTCGCGTGCTTCCACAACGGCGACGTCGAGGTGGTCCGCTTCCTGCTCGACCACGGCGCAGAGGTCAACATCCTCGACCGAGACCGCGCGGGAAACTCGTACCCCTTGCACTGGGCGGCCAACAGGGACCGCGCGGACATCGTGAAGCTGCTGCTGGACAGGGGCGCTGAGAAGAGCCGGAAGGGCTTCGACGGGCGGAATGCGCTGGGGATGGTGCTCTACTACTCGCTCTCGCCGCGCAAGGTCGAGCCAAAGCAGATGGAGACCATCCAGGTCCTGCTCGACCATGGCTTCTCGGTCGACGAGTCCGGCATGGTATGCTTCTTATCATCATGCTGCTCATTTCTTTCTCTTTCTCTTCTTTCTTTTCTTTCTTTTCTTTCCCTCTTTTCTATTCTCTTCTTGTTTTGTCTGGATCCTAACGAAGGCCTTGAAACAAGCTATTCGAGGCTGTCCTCTCTCGCGACCAGTATCTCATCAAGTTCCTGCTCGACCACGGAGGATCCATAAACCCGCCGTCTCCCAAGGACCCGTCTCTCCTCGGCCATGCTGCCGGGTTCACGGACTACGAGACCGTCAAGTTTCTCCTCGACAACGGTGCTGTGCTGGATAATCCTACAGACGGCAGCCCCAGCTCCGTCCTGGTCAGTGCTGCCTCGACCGGCAACCTCTCGGTCGTCAAGCTGCTGCTGGAGAGTGCAGACCCGGAGATCATCAGGAAGTCCAGCAGGGCCATCAGTGCTGCTGCGGCCTCGGGCCATCTCAAGGTGGTTGAGATGCTGCTGGATTCCAACATGAGCATTGACGGTGACTGTGCCCTTGGATACCAATCTCCTCTTCATGCGGCCTGCTTTACCGACCAGCCTTCCCCAGAACTCGTCAAGTTCCTGCTCAGCCAAGGTGCCAGCGTAAACTCCCTGGATGATAGACTCAATACCCCACGTACGTATTCATTCTTTGGTCTTTACATACCGGGTTTATTATTATTTTTTTCTTTCTTTTTATTTTAACATCTACAAACAGTACATCTGCACGTCTCTACTTCCCAGCCGGATGAAAGAGTTGTTCGGCTCCTCCTAGATGCCGGCGCAGACCTCTCGGCCAGAAACACAAACGGTGAAACCCCACTGCTGAGAGCAGTATCTGCGCTACACTGTCCCTACCAGCAAGGAAACCCACATGACCCCCAAGGCAGCGCCTCCGTAGTCCTCCTTCGACGGCTCCTCAGGGCTGGATCCGACATCACGGCTTTAGATCATCTCGGCCAAACAGCTCTGCACATACTAGCCTCGAACTCCCCCGCCTGCACCCCCGGCGAATGTCCCGAAAAGGCAGCGCAGGTGCTGCTGGACATGGGAGTGCCAATCGATTCGCTCGACAACAAGGGCCGCACCGCAATCGACATCCTCCTCGAGAAACACACCATAGAATCCAGGCTGATTCTGCACACCATTGAGAATTTCAAGCTACATCACTTTTCCCCTTCTTCGCAGTAACTTTTTTTTCCCCTTTTTAAATGAAAAAGAAAGAAAGAAAAGAACTTGCCCCTCGACAAAAGGTCAAGCAACGGCGTGAGCAGGAACAAACAGGAGTTTATACCGGCGAAAATTTATATATGGTCTTTTACTACTTCGACTATACTAACTACTAACTTACCTTACTGGATGGGTTTTTGATCATGTTTACATTTCCATGCACGCTGCATTCTGGCTTTGGGTCCCAGCTGGACAAGCCTTGTTCTCATTTTTGTCTACGTTTCCCCCTTTGCCCTGATGACATTTTTTTTTCTTATGGCTTTGTGGGCTCCGTCGATTCCATTATTTATTAATGTAATACCTTACGGGATGACTTAGATTAAATTTTTTTAACGAAATTTATGAAATGATATTCATTTGTTATTAAGTATCATCACAGCCGTGGTAGTATTTTTCCCGTTAAGTAAGCGTTTTTAAGGAGCCGCGCTGACCGGCCCTTCGCCCCCGGGTATTAACTATGCTCATTAGCTAAGCACCCCTTGAAAGAGCTGCTGGGGGAAACTCACCATGCACACGTTATTTCCGTTCAGAAGGATCTTAGAAAGCTTCGTTTGGCCGCCAGAGTAGTCACTAAAGAGGTTAGTACACTGAATCATCCAACGTGCCTTTAATAGGTAGTATGTATCAACATACAATTCAGTCACATCCTCGAGTACCATGTCTACATTCAGCGTTAGCCAAACAGCCCGTCTCCACAGCAAGGCAAGCGAATACTTACTAACATAATCATCGAATCCAAGCAGTGTTCCGCAGAATTCTATTCCATAAAATTAGCAAGTCGTATGACCACACCTTAAAGAAAAACCAGGTCAAACGTACCTTTATCGCCCTTCATAACAATCCATATCTTTGACCCAACGCACTTGTCAATCAGCTCTACAGTAATACAACAATACTTCGTAAGTATTTTCTCTGAAACAGCGGTACAAGGATATCTTCATAGACAAGGAGGGAGCCCACCTAGTGGGAGAAGTTGTGATGCCATGATGACGTATAAAATATGGCGTGGGTATTTCAACAAGTAACTAGCCTAGGAGCTGGAGAATGGGTATAAAGTCACGCAGAACCTGTCTTCCTTTCACAAGCTAAAAGATCTGGTCGACTTGCAGGCTTCGTGATATCTCGTCGACTTGCGTTGCTTTTGGCTTCTTCGTTCGTTTCGACGTTCGGGAAAAGCAAAGAAAATAATATCACGTGAGACAGCCCAGTGGGCAGATCGCCGCGCTAGTCCTAAAAGGGCATATTAACGGCATTGGCTATTCCTACCCCCTACGAGGTTCGGTGGTGGACGATGTGGCTTGCACATATGGATTATAACTCGGGAGGGAAGATGATTGAAGATAAATTGCATTGGTGATGTTTATTTTGCAATTATACACTATAACGTCTGCAACTAGACCAATTTTATAAATACATAACTAGATGAGAGGCGTTCTAACTGCCCACCCGCTTACCTGTTGTCTTACACATCACTAGTTATTCATTTCTAGTTCGCCTTGCTGCTTTTGGTAGGCCTAGCTCCCGCTACCACGCCAATATTCGTCGTCTGTGATGTTTGGGTTTCGAGGGACTTGGGAGACGTGAGGACAAGGGCATAATGACTAAGAGGAGGCTACCTGAGAGAGTAACGAGCAACACGAGCCAGGGTGGCAATGTACGTGTGTAGCTGATATTGGTACTGATCGTTGATACATACAGGAGGGGCCTGGGGCCCAAACGACATAAAAGATACAAGTGCGTCAGATAATGAAGTAAACCCTATGCCCTATCTCTCCTTTCACTACCCAGAAGAGAAGCCGAACCAACGTTGGAACTAGTAGTCCCTTCGCCAGACTGCTATCGGGTGTAGACAGAACAACAGCTGTGGTTAAAATCCTGGCCAGTCTCTGAGCATCTAGGGACTGAGAGGCTTGAGCTTGCTGGGCTGGTACTTGCAGCTAAACTGGCAGTCTTCGCGAGAGATTAGTGCGCCAAGGGGCCTCTCGACGCGTGGGAGAGGTCACTGAATCATTGACCCCCGTGTTTCTAAGGGCTTCGTCCTTGTTAAAGTTGAAGGACCAGTAAACACCTAAGTGCCGCTTGGTGATCTTAGCGTCCTTAGCTAGCTTCTGCAGTTGAACAACGTGCACCTTCGTTAGCTTACGAAAGAAGGGAGGTAGGTTATTCGCTGATAGGGGCCTTCTAACAACGGTACAACCGTTGGTTTTCTTCGGTTCTTCTTCCAAGAAGTCAAACCCCCAAGACAGGAAAGGTAATATATGTCATCAATAGGCTTTTCTCCATCTGTGATAGCAAAGCCTCTCTCCATTTGCATAAAAGGTATACAACCCAACCATCTGCAGTAGGCATGTCTCATGGATATCCAGTCTTGTGTCGATAGTAAGCACCTGCCGCAATCAGGTCTTATGTCCGGCGACGCTTCTCTTGATAAGGTATTAGTTAGTATATAATATAATATAGGCTTCGCACGTAACCCGGAGGACCGTGGGTCGAAACCAATACATGCTAACAAATGTAGCGTGTGTCACCACAACAGGCGCTGGGTCGAAAGCGCCTTGTGGATAAGCACAATACCTGTAGATGTCTTCAATCTGTTGGGAACCACACGTAGAGCTCAGTAGTCCCCTCGAGAGTTGAAGCTCTCTTTCCTTTGCATCCTCAACCTCGGCACGGCTGGCTAGTTCTCCAGCCTGCAAGGCCTCTCTAGTAATAGCCATTACGTGAGACATGCTAGCCGACTCCGAGAGGGCTGCCTTGAAGGCCTCCTTATGAGCCCCAGCATCTTGTAAACCTCAGGCCCAGGTCTGTAAGACTGCGGTACAACGTAGATGATGTAGGATGGCTGCTGAGTAGAAATCACGTTCCGGAATATACGGATAACCTGTGGGGAGAAACGAGGATGGACATGTCGTCGCTGTAACTCTTTCTGTGTTGTTGGAAGGCATCGTGCTGTTGCCTGTTGTTTCAATATACCACGTTGTATAATAATAACTTTACTTTGCGGGCGTCCATAACCCCTTGTTCAGTCATTACTTACAATAACAAGTTGAATCCTGGCAGCCACCACAGAGACCACTTGGGTCTATGAGCGCGTAGATATGGCCATGTATATACCATGGAAAACTTGTATTACCTCACAGCCATCCTAATGATAGCCCCAGTAATGCTGTGGGTATATTTATTTTGTGGGAGGTAATGTTTCATTCAGTTGTGTCCTCTGGCTGTGCCATCAAGG